AAATTACACCAGTATATCAATTGCACATGAAATGTCGTTACTTATGATTGTTAATATTGTAGAATTACGTTCAGTAATATTACTGAAATAATGTGCATGTGATGATAATAACGACAATAGTAAACCACGACAATATATATATATATATATATATATATATATATATATATATATATATATATATATATATATATATATATATATATATATATAGTAATTCGATTTAAAAGGTTTAAAAACACAAAATGATCACAATGTGAACGTGTTAATCAAGAAATAAAAAAGGTACCCAGGACAAAATTTAGCAAAAAATTTAAAACTTTAACCAAAGTACTTTTAGTTAAAGTAGACCAAGAATGCTTTTTGGTTCAATAAGTACCACAACAAGTACAAAAATCATTGCCCTTTTTGAAACGAGCGCGGTAACGTCACATACACGAAACGTTCCATCTAATTACAGACCCGTAAGCCTGTAAAACGAACCTCCTTATAGCAAGGGAGTTCTGTATTAATGTGCTAGACAACGGAAACTCAGTGGTTGTTGTCTACATAGATTTCAGTAAGGCTTTTGACAAGGTGCCAACTAATAGACTGCTATTGAAGTTGGAAAACCTTGGTATTGCCGGACCTCTTTTAAAATGGATTAAGGATTTATTAGTAGGTCGTAGACAAAAAGTAAGAATAAATTCCAAGTGCTCCATCTGGAGGCCAGTACTAAGTGGAGTACCCCAAGGTTCCGTCCTAGGTCCTTTACTTTTTATAATGTACGTTAATGATATTACAAGTATAGTACAGTCTCCAAGATTATTATACACTGACGATGTAAAAATTTGGCGAGTAATAGCTGGAGACAAAGACGCATGTGCTCTTCAGGCAGACTTAAATAATATGATAAACTGGTCTAAAGAGTGGCTGATGCCTATCAACGCGGAAAAGTGTATTTACATGCACTTGGGGGATTCAAAGGTTAATACATACAACATAGTGGAAGTGTCATTACCCGTAGTCCGGTCGCATAAGGATCTAGGAGTGACAGTGAGTAATGATCGTAAGACGACGGCACATTGCCGGGAGGTCGCAGCCAAGGGGTTTTGAACCCTCTGGGCTTTAAAAATTACATTCACTAAGTTAGATACTACCATGTTCACCACAGTATACACATCCTTAGTGAGAACTAAGCTAGAGAACTGCGCTCAGGCTGCAAGCCCCTGTTTAAAAAGTGACTCAGACATACTAGAAAAAGTACAAAGGGCAGCTACCCGTGCAATTCCGGAACTCCGGGATTTATCATACAAAGAGCGGTTTGAAAAACTGGACCTCTTTACTCTGTCCTATCGCAGACTAAGGGGAGATCTAATTTTGATGTACAGAATACTGAGAAACGATTTCAGACATAACTTATTCGCTATCTTTCTTCCCACTAGATCGGGACACCTTAGAGGACATAGCAGGCGAATAGAAAAGCCAAGAATGAACAAAATACCCGTGGCATACAGGTTTTCACACAGCGTCATCAATACTTGGAACCTGCTGCCTGAAGCAGTGGTGTCCGCACCTTCAATTGACTCTTTCAAGAGAAGACTGGACACTCACAGAAGCATACTAGAAAAAGAATAACATAGGCCGTAGACCTTCTGTCCTTACTACACAAATCTGAATCTGTATTTAAATACTTCAAACTACTGACTAATTATGAATAGTGTGATAAAATATACGAAAATGCAGGAGGAAAAGAACCAAACGAAAGAAATAAGTACCATCAAATTAACTATCAATCCATGCAAACATGAAAGCAAAATATTACCCAAGTTATTCTTAAAACTACTTTGATATTCAAGAATTACTTCATCCTTAGTTTCTGATTTTAAGTTTACGAAATGTATGCTTAATCAAAACTTACGTTTCTTGGTTATCAGTTTAAAGGTAGAAGTATATTAAAACATAGATACTAAAAATAGTTCACAGCACAATTAAGAATAGGGAGAAAAAAAGAAATCCATTTCGTCAAATTATTGTGAAAAAACCAATATATCATACGAATCCCAATTTCCTCCAAATTTTACACATTTTAGATTGGTCTCAACAGTCAGCTACGTCTTATTGACTGCAGTTATAACTAGAATTAATTAAATTAGTGTACTTGAGTCGTGGTAAAGTTTTATATGAGATTTTAATCCAGCACTGAGTGTCTCAAAATGTAGCACTTACTCTCATAGATAACGAGTCTCAGTAATTTACCGAAGGATATAGATCATTATGAGAGCAATATTTGCTTTGTTCCTTAATTTATAAGTGATTCAGCGTTGGGGGACGTGGTGCCGATACAGCAGAATTACTTTATTATTTTCTAGCAGCTGGTTCTTTATGCTCTGGAACATAAATCCTAATGCCAATCAATAAACAGCTAACATAAAACAGAGATGAGTTGGTAGATTTATGCAACTCAAAAAAATATTTCGTTTTGTGGTTTCAGTGAATTCTAGCGAATGAACAAGATAGTCATACCTCACACCAACTTCATTCTAAACTTTTTGTTTATCAGTATAACTAAATGAAGATGAGAATATTACCATACTTTATTGAAATTTACATGATTTGAATATGCAAAATCACATAGCATGTTCCAGTCTGCCATTAGATATAACGATCGCTAATTTATCTTTAGGTAGGATGGCTAACAAAATCTAGACAAAAGGATGATATATATTTATATAAGCAAACAATATTATTTTCAATTTGGTCCTCATCAGGTTTACTTGTGATATACGTTATTATTTATATGCATATACAAAATTATTAAACCAACTAAGGTAGTTTATGAGTCAATGATAACAGTAGAATATATTAAGTAACAAGTACGAATTGGTAGTGTGATGGAAGATGTATTAGTTTTGATAAGAATAACAAAAGCTTGAATCAATGTTTCATAATAGAAAATAGATCAGTAATCTGAAAAATATAGACACTGAAATCATATTCATAAAGATCATAAGATTACGTAACAAGGTGTGTTCAAATAGTTGGACAATGAAGCGTATATTTGAAAAAAAGTGGGGCGAAGAAAACGGACGAACAAACTGTATAGAAAACAATGATGAGTGAAATCTTTTATTAAGGCTTATTCAGCCAAAGAAGAAATTAAGGGAGTTATAAATTTCTTATGAATATAAAGACTTGAATTGTTAGTCCAAATTCCTGTGTCTTCTGTCATGCGTAAAAGACAAGATGAAACCCCCTACTGACTCATAAACTACCTTAATTGGTTTAATAATTTTGTATATGCATATAAATATTGATGTATATCACAGTTAAACCTGATGAGGATCTAACTGAAAAAAATGTTGTTCGCTTATATATGTTCTAAATCGATGTTGGTATATACTATTCGTATGATGAAAGGAGATATGTCACACAACACAATGAACATTATGATAATTAGGTTAACTTTCATTGTTATTCATTCATTTGGATGGATTTCGAAAACAAATAGTTCCGGTCCAATATATATTTATTTCGTTAGTCTATTAATACTATAATAATGATTGAATTCATGCAACTGAAATGCCATGGTGACAGTGTTATTTAAAAATGAATGACTTCATCCATTACTTAAGTGTTTTTATAGAAAGTTGGGGTCAAACAAGGAAAATAGTTTATTAACGAATGTAAAATAAAATAAATTACGGAACCAGAGAATTTCGAAAACGTGTAATTCATGAAAACGAATTTGCCGTAAACAGGCCACTGACTGAAAGCCAAAATATTTAGGGTCAGTTAAACAAATATCAAGTTTTTAATTCAATTTGAACCTGTTTTTGAATTGTTGAAATTTTGACTGAAATTAAATCAGTTTTGGTGCGCTTCCTGTAAGATTTTCCTCTATAAAGCCAACATTACTTACGCCTGTTACTCCTCGTGAAGAAGCATAGGCCGCTCACCAGCATTTGCCATCCAACCCTGCGCTGGGCAATCCTTTACAGCTCCTACCAGTTGTTATTCATCCTTTTCATATCTGATTCTATTTCACGACGTAATGTGTTCTTTGGCCTTCCTCTTTTCCGTTTCCCTTCAGGATTCCAAGTTAAGGCTTGTCTCGTGATGCAGTTTGATGATTTGCGTAATGTATGTCCTATCCATTTCTATCGTCTTTTTCTAATTTCCTCTTCAGCTGGAAGCTGATTTGTTCTCTCCCACAAAAGGCTGTTGCTGATGGTATCCGGCCAATGGACGATGAGTATCTTGCGTAGACAGCTATTTATAAATACTTGTACCTTCTTGATGGTGGTTGTAGTTCTCCAAGTTTCAGCCCCGTAAAGTAGAACTGCCTTAACGTTCGAGTCGCAGAGTGAACACCAACTCGAATGCAGGTCCATCCGTCCGACAAGACTTAGATTCCACTGAAAGTGAAATTCCATCAATTTTGTTTTATTAAATCATAAGACTTATGAAGGAATCACGAATAAGTTGTCAAAGTAAGGTTGTTGTCGTACTGTAATGTCTAAAGTGAAATATACTTTGGGTGACATTTTTAATTACACTACATTTATTTTTATTGGGTATTTTGTAAATTTTTGAAAATACCTTAAACGAAATTTGTTGATAAATGATGTAAATAAACATCGATATTTATGTAGTTAATTTATTGTTTATATTTTTTAAAATGAGCATTTATTAAGTAATATTATGGATTTAATAATAATTCCTCGCTTTCTGATGATTCAGACATTACGGTGATTGTCATTTACGATAAACTGTAGATTTGTTATCAAGTTTTTTGTTAAAAGTAAATCATTGGTGAATAATCGTTCGTTGTATTCTTGTACTTAATTAGTATAATCACATATAAGTTAGGGAATGAAATCACTATATACTTCTGACTAAATCTTGTTCGACCTGCTGCTATGCCGTATTTAAGTTCTGCAATCTGTAAATTAGTATAGACCAACTGAATAAAATGAAGAATCTGACTTTTAGAATAATCAGCGTAAGAATTAAACTCGTAATGACAGTTAAATTAATTTTTTTTCGTTAATTAAACATTCCAATCACAGATTATGGTCAGTAACTGTAGTTTTATCCTTATTGTCAAAATATACGGCAGATCACTACAATAGATTTTGTCTTATCTACTTCATGATCACAATCAACCAAATATGATAAAACAAAGCCAAGCATAGAATTTATTTAGATATATCCAAACTATTCAAAAAGATGTTCAATCACATATTGGTTACATGAATTGAAAACATTTCTGATTTATTTTTCGTCACAGAAATAACTGAATTGATCGATGCACACTGAAATGGCAAAAACAGGTACCTGATACTTTATTTTAATAAATAATATTAGTTAACAGGAAAATGGCAAGCAACACTAGGCTTCATGTCATGTTTTAATCGTTTTGGCCAGTAATTATTATCCTTATTACTACTAATTGACCTGATATTTTTCTACTCAGTGATCGATCGTCTGCAAATTATAATTAATTATATGATCTACTTCATTATTATCAATGACTCATAAATTGAACTGACTGATTTATATTTCCGATATATTTCAATATTACTATATATTCAAGTAAAGCTTGATTAAGATCTTATTGAAAACAACTTTGTTTGTTATATGTTTTGTTCTAGTCTTTAAAATAATAATTTTCAGTTTTTTTTATTAAGTCAAATGTGTTGTATTTAGAGACATACAAAATCTCATTATTGAAAATTTCCCAATATCTACGATAATTATCTATTTAGGTAGTCTCCAACAATTAAATGAATGTAAAGTTATTAATTTACATTCAGTAAAATAGTGTTCATATCTTGTCAAACATAATAAGCTAAACTAATTTTTTATCTTAAATACCTAGTTTTACCAATGGTAGATTGAAACACGATTCATTATATTTACGTAATTAACTTACATCAGGTCTTTAAAAAAAAATTAATCTGTGAAATAAGTTACATATGAAAAGAGCTTTAATAGTAGTAACAATCAGATAATTTAACAAATATCACTTACTGATGTGTATTAGGACTTTAATCACTAATCATTCTATATAATTCTGAAAACAAATTGACTGATCAGATCGATATGAAAGATAAGTTCATTTTCAGTGTGACAAAGTTATCAGTTAAAGATTCAGTAAATACATTTGAGTTGTCAAGGATACACATTAGGGACTATAACTCCATGTCCAATTGTAAAGTGTTTTTTTAAAAAAAGAAAGATCACAGTGAAGAAAAATCGTTGACCAAAACGCAATACGTCAAAAAAAAATCAAAATGAGGGATTGCAAAATATGATTGTTTTTTACTGTCAGATGGATAAATAACATAAAGAATATATAATGATGAGAAATTAATAAAGGTTTTGTTTTCAGTTGAATAATTTTATATCAAATATTGTATCAAGTGGTGAAGTTTGTTTTACATTTAAATGAGTGTCACCAACCGGTAAATTATAAAATGGATTATTGGTAACATTTTTATTATTAGTATACACATTTGGCTTAGTTTGAATATGCTGTGTTGTTGTCCAGCTACAAAAATGATCATCCATTGGGGATATTTTAGTCTAAAATTGAAAACATAGTGCATGTTATTATACTAGAATAAAAATCACAGTATAATGAACAAAGAATAGTAAAACTAAAATCTATTACATATTTTATCGTGAATTAAAACAAGGTACATGCAAACTGACGAGTTACACCAAACAAGTAGTTATCCTCATTTAGAGGAAAAAATGGTAACAACCAACGCTTTGCAATAAAAATTAGCTTTGCAAAAACTCAGTTAGTGATATCACTGGATAATATGTAAACACTTGTGGACTTGTCCTCGATCGATAATTCATTAATGCTCATTTAACATTCACTGACAACCGAAAATAAGTAGTTTTTTTTATCTAAGGTGTTTTAAAAACAACATTTAGATCAGATTAATGGAATATTCATTTATTAAACTTTAATTGAACACTTGTGTATTGTTTGGGAGATTTTGCATGATAGCACTATTAGAACTGATTAATATTCCTCATAAACTGTTACTGTACCATCAATAAAACACACAGATGCAAAACTCACATTTTAATTCAAGTAATCGAATCCCATATTGATGATGGGGAATAATTTTACTATACTATACCATAGAAAGCTTCAAAAATTTAGGATACAACAGAGGAATGAATTGTTTTTTTAAATATAATATCAAGGTTATAATACGATTTCAGAAAAGATCTTGAACGTAACTATATCAGGACATAAGAGGAAATCATCGTAATGGTAATTTTTGAAGCTATAATATGGCAGACATATATAATGTTTATTTATAAACCTCTCCTTATCAGTAATCCCCTTCTCCTCTCCTACATGTTCAGCGTTCTCCTTCAATAAAGAGTTTTCTTAGATGGAACTAAATTTGAGTATTAATATCATTATATAATTAAAGATTTATGTTTTGGAGAGTAGTATAATCTTATTCTGAGATCCTAATTTTGTCATTTATTTCTGTATAAACATAATTCCTCTTAATAAAATCGACCTAATATATAAGCAAAAGTCTACTTTTCAGTTGTATCTATAATGACATATCCATAAACATTTTTTGATTGATTTTTTTCTTAAACGATTAACTACTCATTTGAAACTGTATTATTCTAGTTTTTACTAGCTACGTCCAAGAAAAAATAATAATCAAATAATCATATTTATTAGAACTATTCATATTTCCATTTTATTTAACAAGATATACTTTTAGATAAAAGTAAATAGATTCTTATATTTATGCAAATTTATTTCTAATCTATGTAGTAAATGATACTAAAACTTTTATTCAATAATGGTTAATTTGTTGAATTTATACATGTATATACATATACATATATCACGTATTTATATCAGATGTTTATGACAAGAAAGCAGTAATATCGAACAAATAATTTACATATTATTCGGAAAAATATTTCAGTTTTTATTTAATTTATTTTCAAGTACAATACAAAGTAATATCTAATAAGATGATAGAAGTCTATTCGTTCAGCAATTCAAACAACATATAATGAACAAATTATATATATATATATATATATATATATATATATATATATATATATATATATATATATATATATATATATATATATATATATATATATATATATAATCAACTTTAGATTATATCGAAACCAATGGTAGAAATTTGATCGTTTTGTCTATAAAATCATTCTAATATTTTCAAATAACTGATATAATTTTCTATTATGTCAGAGAATTATTTGAAATTTGTTAATTTATGAATTATGATATTTTTAATTTATAAAATAAACATGTATAATATATTTTAAACCTTTTGTGAATAGTAAAACTTTTCAGAAAAACATCTAACTTCCTAGTAATAAACATATTCGAAGATAGTTTTTTAATCGAAAGTCATACAAACTATTAAATGGTACCAGTAGATTGTTTTGTTACTTCAACAAACATGTCCATAAAATTCTCATATTAATAATCATCAGTAGATAGTAAATGGTAATATATCGGTATTTATAAAACATTTCGTTGTATATTGAATGGTTACATTTTTTAGTACATCATTACCAGAAACGTAGATAGTAAATAATTATTGGAAAACAAAGCATATATTTATTCGTTAGGTAATTTTAATGTTTAATTAATGTAATAAAAAGGCGGTTAAAACCAATCAATATTTAATTCCAGTGGATATATTCAAATGACCAAATTAGACCAAATATTATTAAGCCAAAATGTCTGAAATTTTAATCAAAAAGTAATTATATTACAAAATTGGTATTCTTATGTTTTATACAAATATTTACGAAAAATCCTGTTTAAATTCGGCTGATGACAGTCTCTAAAGAGTCTGAGTGTATCATGATGTTACTTATCTTTATTGAAAGTCTCCATATATTATTTATCAAATGAAAGAAAAGTAGTATCATAAATAAAATAATAACACTTGGAACAAAGATCGATTTTATCAGTAAATATCTCAATCAATAAGTAATTTTATAAAAAATGTAACAAATCGACTGCAACGATGACAATTATTTCAAACCAACCACTATTGGCTATCTAAATTTTAAATGTTCTAAATTCAAATGAGTTTTATTGACCATATTGATGTGTGCCACCATACAAAAAAAAGGCATTAACTTACGGTTTGAATGGCAGGTGGTATATTTGACCAAATATTAGCTGTTGTTGAATATGACTTTAAATACGGAGTGTTTTGTGTTGTACATTTAGTCATTTCCATAAATGGACTAGAATTATGTTTGAACATTTGATTATTCATATTGATTTGTGAAACTAAATATTATGAATAAATAGACAGTATTTAATAAAAATTCAAATAATTTTCGAAATATTTTACTTTATTTATATAATTCACAATGAAGTACATTGTAAATTGTATAAATAACCTAATTATCGTATAAAATTTATACTTTGAAAATGTTATAAATTATTTATGTTATCAGAAGGGGTTTTGTGGATGTTTGAGTAATTTCAATAGTTGAAACTATGAGTCAATTGAAGTTAGACCACCATGGAAACCCTGGAGGCACTGAACGGCCGTTTCATCTTATTGTGAGACTCCTCAGCAGTCGGATACCGGCCCAGTAGTCTGGTGGCTAAGCGCTCACGCGCAAGACTGATAGGTCGTGGGTTCGAATCTCGCGGGGAGCGCGATCGTGGGTGCACACCGCTGAGGAGTTCCATACTAGAACGAAACGGCCATCCAGTGCTTTCAGGTTTTCCATGGTGGTCTAGCTTCAATTGTCTAATGATTTCAGCTACTGAAACTATTAGTATTAGACAAAAGCTATTGATAATAAAATTTAACAGAGTTTTGTTCATGAATGATTTTTTTCATATTTTAGTTTAAAGAGTTTTTAATGAATTTTATTTAACTGTTTATTTTAGCGAATTATACTTTTATATTTTAATCGTTGAAAAATTCCCATTGTATTAAAATACAATTATATGAACGAAAAATATTCTTTTCAATAAATTCTCATCAGGTTCTACATTTATCTCATATCTAAATTAATAATCTATAAAATTGGCCAGATTTAGGCAAAGCACATCATTTGGAAATTGTAACATGTGAATCAAGAATTGTTATTTGTTATATGAAATCAAATCAATTCAGATCGTTAATGTTGGGGTTGAGTAATATGAAGTGTTAACTTGAGTCAATTTATAAGCGAAATGAAATTGTGTGATAAACGGTCAGAATAAATATAGTCAACATGGGGTGAGAGAGAGAAAATAATGAATGATGTACTCTGTTTTAAATCTGACCAATTTTATGGATTATTAATTTGAATTTATAATTGTAGAATATGATGAGAAATTATTCAATAGAATATTTTTCGTTCATATACTTATATATTTGTATATAATATTTATATACTATAGAAACAGATAGATGAAACACATCAAATACAAAATGAGAATATTTTCTTATATTAGTATTATTTTATTTTGCAACAGTATTCGAAAGAAACAAAATCCATTATTTTAGAAATAATCAATTATTAAAACAAAATAGTATTTTAATATATGTGCTTATTCGAAGATATATTAAATTATTTTGGATAGTTTCCAATATTGAATAAAGAAAAAAAAATGCAGTCATAATATACAAAAGTTGAAGTTGAAGATAAACAGCTTATTGGTTTTTTTTTGTTTGTTTGGAATAATATTACTAGTTTGCAAATTATTCAAATAATATATGATTATTGAAATGTACTATTTGTTTCTAGTTTAATTAAGTTTTTATTTAATGGTATTATTGAATGTCACTATCTTTTTAAAATTTATAAGAATGATTAGTAATATATCATTTCATTAGTTTATTCCTATAGTTTGTAAATTAAACATATTTTACTTAAACAACCTAATATGTATTTTATACCTATAACTGATTTGGAAGCTTTGTAATGCCGACTGATTTGACTCCAATTTAAATGAACGTATGAATAAGCTATGAATATAAGTCTTCCATTTCACTCCGTATATTGCTTAGGCAAACCACGTTTGTTTGATGGCGGTAATAAGAAGGGTGACATTAGAGAAATTTATTTTAGGTATACGTTAATCCAGGTAGACGATTGAGGAAACGAGACGGAGAGGAGAGAGCGGAGTGAAACGGATCGGAGAAGGCAAGTCTTGCTAACCAAGTGTGAATCGATAATAAAGTCAAACAAAAATAAGTTACGGATATATAGTAAGATAAGAAATTCGAGAACATACGCTCACATAAAATCAGTTAAGATCGATAAGTGAATAATTAACAAGGTCAAAATGTGGCTTTCGGAGAACGAATGAATTGGTCTGTCTGTAAGTTAGAATAACCTATATGGGCTTGACATAGTACCAGACACTACAAATTAACTGAATAAATTCTATTGACGAAATATGGTATGACACTAAAGTGAAATCGAATAAGTTAGTCTTGGAATACTGATTTTCACTTAGAATCACAATTATTTAGTGTAGAAATAGTATGTAATATATTTCACATAAATTAAATAAATATAACTGGTAAAACTATGTTTTACTATAAATCTGAGATTCATGCTAGTAAATTTGACCACTATTAATCACTTAGATCAAACAAGAGTAGCTAACACTTCAAATTCATAAAAACTGATTGAGATACATACGTTATATGGAATTTAGAATTGTATATGAATTGTAATTAACTTACAGTAATGTAGATCATTGTTACCAAATGGTTGATTATGAGGATTTTGAGACGTTAGATTTTTAGGTGTAGAGTTTTCCCAGCTAATCCCTTGGTTTTCGAAATGATCATCGAAAGTTATCCAGTTTTTTTCACCACCCTTTTAATATTAATTTAAACATAAAAGTAAATAAATGAAAACAACTGACTGAAATTTGATTGAAGTATGACAAATTACTTAGTTATGGAGTACTGATGGCACTAAAAATCATAATCACTTACAATAATATTAGAAATGATGATAAAATGTTTTGTTTCCTTGAGGTAGTATGATAACGTGCATTATACTGCATGAAATGTAACGTCATTAATTTGTCATCATGTAATAATCAGTATACTCTTACTTAACTATTTATTCTGGTCTAGTCCAGTAGTTCAAGGTTGTTAAGTAAACAATTAATAAATAAATTATTCATTAGGTACTCTAATATGAGCTACATCCAAAGTATAAAAGCTATTGTGACATAAATCGGGGGGCAAATCGATGGATTTAACGGCAAATTATTTAATTATCATTATAATCGGGAGTATCAAACAGTCTTCAAAGACCACAGTAGTGCCGCAGAAAATTTGGAGAAAACTCGACAACCCAGAAGTAAGCAAGACAAAAACAGTAGTATGGGATGTAGTGGTTATCTTTTATTTTTTTTATGGAATTACGACATTGTATTTGTTTTCTCGTATAGGTATCTAATAGGGGATTCTATATCACCGATATAGAACCAAATCCTGTTGTGCTAGATTAGTGTGGAGGTTTCTTACCGAGAGACATATCACTTAGCTCAACCTGCAACGACATTCGGTCAATAATCCCTTGGAATTTATCATCGTTACTGAAAGAATTTTTAATTGATTTCAATGTAGGATTTGGTTACTGTACATAAACAAATGACTCTTTCTGTCACCCAAAAGTAATCTAACTTTGTACTACCTTAAAAAATCAGTATCTTATTCATCATGACCTGTTGTTTCTATCATGTTGCAGAAATTTGAGTAACAAGGCGTCATTGCGCATGTGTAGTACTCAGGTTAAGCAACCCCAGAAGTTGTGATAAAGAATGCCAACAGTTCACTTAGAATCCTCCTCAGCTTCCTACTAAACCGAATTCAAACCTTACACTACATCATTATGTATCTCTCGAATAAACTTAGTATTGTCCTCAAAAAATGAAGATATTTAGCTTGATTCAACTTAGCTAGAACGAAATTCCAAATGAAAGCATAACACAAGTCTCGGGTTTAACTAATGGTTAACACAGCTGGGACTACTCCAGTATAATCGACCATCAATTGGCTAAAAACAGCAGCATCTATTTTCTAATAGTTGGTGAGGACAGTTCTGGCTAACATCTTCAGAGATTCTTTATACTTAAACAATATCCTCTGTGGTCTCAAAAGCATTTGAATACCTATGGAAGTGAGGTAGAACGTTATTGAAGCTTATGAAAATGTTTTTCTTCTCCGATTAGAAGAACAATAAACTGCTACTACTCATTTCACCACTGTGAGTATTTTTTAAATTAGTAACTATGAAACAATGTTCCGTGAACTTAGTTAAATAAATTCAGGAATACATCAAAATAGCTAAAACCTGCTTTACGTCCTACTAATTTCCGACCTTATATGACCTTATTCTTGTAAGAGTAACTACGGACATATAGTTGTATGAAATTGAAGTCGTATCACTACACGCATTTCCAAACGGATGAAAACGTACAGTCCTGAAGGCGTAGAGTATAGTAAAATGAAGCAATCAGAAATATGGGGAAACTGATAAAGAGTAGTTAGCTCTAGGATTTGCGGTTTACAAGATCAACAAGCTGATCTAAGGAAAAAACCCACTCTCCTTAAAGATCATAAAACCCTGTTATCAACATTTTGTTCATATTTCTGTGTACTACCTCATTTTACGGGGAACTTACAGCACTGAGTCCTTCCACTCCAAGGATACAACTTCACTATCCATTATCTACAAACAGAGGATTTTGAACGTGCAGATATCTTATTATGGTACATGGGAGAGTAATCATACATACATGAAAGCTACATCGTAGCTGATGTCCCGATAACAGACTATGTAGCTGCACTTTAAGCAAGAGAAAGGACTCGAAAAGTTAATAACCTTCAGGCGGAAAGACGTCTCATGGAAACTGTTATATACTAGAGAAGATTAAATGACGCGTAACTTCTGAGACCTATTAATGGAGTAATATTATCTATACATTCTTGTTGTATAATTATTCGGTAACTAGATTGTGTATATTTATATTCATCTTATTATAAGTTTTCCTTTGACCTATATATTATTATTATACGATTTACCGTTCTTAAATTATACTCAGTTTATTAATTACTGTCTCCCACGTTCACAGCCACATTTTGGCTTTATTGTGCATAAATGTTATTTCCTATTTTGTGGTGCCTTGCGGTCTGTTTGGTCGATATATAAGCCCAGTATGTCTGAAACAAATGATTCGCATAGTGGAGGCTGTTATTGGCATTCTGGACTCAACTGGACGGGCTAGGCGAGCAACGAACCAATAGAACGCTAGACTGATCAAAACGGTTGGACGTCATTTGTTTAGTACAGTACAAGAGCGAATAAATCGTATACGATTGGCGAATAAAGTATGTGATAAAAAGCGGGCCTAAAGACACAACAGAAACCATATAGTCTGTAGTATTAAGCAGCAAACTGCGTCAACTCTCCTGAAGATGACGGTTACTCTAAGCTATTCCGATTATCATTATTTTGAAGAAAAACATTACAACCTTCGCCAGTTTCAGTTCAACCACTGTGGTATCAAACGAAGGAAATCTATTGCTAAAATCTGCGTCTAACATTCATAGACGGATAACAATATCAAATAATATGTCAACCAACGCCCCTTAAAGCAGTGAGCGATAAACATTTCAATGCGCCTTTCACCATTATGCAAAGCAGAAGCAGAAAGACTGGGATAATTACATGTGTACTTTGCTGTTCTTATCGATGGAACGCCTACAGATTGTAGACGATGTTGACTGAAGGTAACCTGAAGTATATCTAGTTGTTTTACCCACCTCCAAGAAAACATTACCATCTCTGTCTAATATCCTTCCTTGTCGTGTATTTCACAAGACCTCAGTTCTCAATTTAATTTTCAAATGATCATTAACTATTGTTGACCTGGAGCACTTGACTAAACTAAGTCCCCGATCTTATCACTCACGGTCAGATGGAGTAACGTAGAGGCTTGTTTACACTCCGAACTTGCCCTGCAAAAATTACTAGGTGAGTGTGAAAATATTTTTGTTTATATAGCTGACGACACTCAACGCGGTATTCCTTAGACACTGGTCATTAATGGTAGCAATAGTACGGAGTAAACTAAGAACCCGAAATGACGAACTTCTTCCAACAGAACCATAGTTTGTGGCATCACATATCCTCAAAAGTTTCGAACTAGGACCAAAAGTGTTTGCAAGTGATTATAAAAACGTATACAGCACAGAGTGAGCAGAATATCTGGCTTGGTAATTATAAAATAGCGATAGTGACGATAACATATTATAAATGAGTTTTTTTGTTCATTAAATCTGATTTCATATTTGACTAGAAGCCAGCTGAGAATCTGTTATGTAATTACAATCATCACGGTTATCGATCAGTAAATTACCATAATTGACTTAAATTAACATTTCCTTCTTGGTTTCAATAAGTTTTGGTTGAAATGAAAGAACTTAACAGATTTTGACACACTCAACTACACTAGATTTCTGAAAGACATAAGATTCAGTCGGTTATAAACAGACCAAAGACTTGTGTAGTATTTTCTAGTTGTAAAAGGGGAATGTCTCTTTTGATATCATTGTTCCGAAATGTTACACCGTTTGTAGATTAACTTGTGAGTAATCTTCGTGATAAATTATAATTTCATTCATAAGTTATTTTGCAATGTTCAGATTATCAGTCAAGTGAATAATCTAACTGTTCTTTAACTTGAGGACTTGATAACTAAATTATCTTATATAAGCTTACACAAAACTTTACTGTAGGATCCTAAATGTGTAAAAAGCTACAGTCAGACTGACGTAGGATAACTAAAGTCATATAAATTGTAATTCATTTTGCGTGAACTTACTTTATTGTACGGAACGTTGTGTCCATTACTTGTGTATTGTTTTTGAATATTTTCATTGTCAGCGTTTTTTTGGTGTGGTGAGACAGTGTTGTCACTAATATCTATTAGCTGAATCAAATCAGGATTATTTTCCTCGGTAGTGTCGAAAATTCTGGTATCCGTAGAATGTTCTGATTTACTTAATATGTCCTAAGGAATTGTGTGTGACATAATTTAGAGTAAAGCGCGAAATATAAATAAAGTGAACAACAACAAAAATATAAATTTTTAATATATTCGAGGAATTTGTCTGATGTAATATTTTCGTTTGTGTTGAAATCTTGACCCAAGGAATCCACATTACACAACGCAAAAACGTTCTCGTCAATAAATTGTTCTCACCAGACAATAATAGCTTTCCGCTTCAAACTTGATTATGTACATGTAGTGTTCAGATGACGATGGCAGAAAATTCTATTATTACAAAATTAGTGTCTAAAAAACCTTAAAGATAATGAAATCAAGTCAGGTTATTCAGCTGTGATACGATAGCACAATGTCCCTTGTTACATTGTTGGATGCATCGTGTTGATTTGTGGAGAAATGGGGTTTGATGCTATGGTTCTTCACCATTTTCATACAAGGTTCATCTACGTTTTTATCAATTGCCTGTTGCCTAGGAATTTAGATACATGGTAAATTGACGAACTACCTGAAAACATGCTTTAAATTGTAGGCTTTGTTATATTAGTTGGTAAATAGACTTTAAGTTTTATTTATTATGCAAAATGTATTGGACAGTGTGAGGACGTAACCGATTCTCAACATGATCAGTAGTAGTCGTTGTGTTGGTCATCACTGATTAGTGACTATACATAAGTTCACTTTTCTCATAGGCCTAAATTTCAAAATCTGTTAAATGGGGCTCCTTTATATTAATGGTTTCAGTTAACTTTTGTGTTTGCCAAAAATACAGAACAAACATAGGACTTTTCAGTGATGATGCGCTTTTCTATCACAAGCCTTGGAACATTTTTAAATTTGAAGTTTATAAATTTTACCAACAGTAAATGCCATTATATTAATCAATGATATAAAACGTAAAGAGGAAATTATAAATCAGGATTAAGGTTTAGTTGGAATTATGTTATAACTCTTTGACCTTATGTGTAAACTAACATTTTAGAGCTCAAAGAGGCTACTCTAAAAACCAATCATTCAGTCGAAGTGTGACATGGAATAAAAGTGTGACCATATGACAAATACTAGATTTCAACTTTAAATAAAGATTGAATTACATGAAAACAATAGAGTGCATTGAATTATACAACCAATAATGAACAGTCAATAAACTTTACTGATGTTTTCAGTTAACTGATAAGATAGTCACTGTTTATTTTGTATTTGAGAACAAATGGTTATTTCATGAGATCGTATAACTGTTTCATTCTTACATAAGCTATATTTTTGAAGTTAACTAATCAAACTAACTTTTGTAATAAGAAACATTCATCGTACTAAACTAGAATAGTTTATATAGTATAGTTCAGTCAATAGAGAGTAGAGAAATGTGTACTGAAAATACTTAAAACTTACATTAGATCAATGAATTACAGATTCAAGTTAATGCATTCAAAATGCATTAATCATAGTGTAGACTAATAACATTGTGCTTTATATAAGTAGTTTATTGAGGCTGTCTAATTATTCATAATGGAATAAACTGTTAGATGTAAGTATTGTATGAATGTTTTTGTGTGCTTTATTAGCAATTACTGATTAAGTATTGAACATACTGACATATGGTTTTAAGTTTATTTACTTTAGTTTGTAGGTGACATTTGGTTAATGAAGTTTATAACTTTAGCATTAAAAATCTTAGTGAATTACTACATGTTTTAAATTAGTGTTATTGGTTTTACTACCAAAAACTGAAGAAATAATGATTTTTTTAAATTCAGAAGTTTTTAGTCTGTTGACAGAATTGAAATAGCTGTCAAAGAGCCTAGAACAAAGATATTAAAGTAACCCAAAATTATTTATTGTTGACTATAGACATTTATGAATGAAATATGTTTTTAATAGTATTCAAGGTAAATTGGTAGTACGACGATAGACTATTTCATTTATAATAACCCTTATCATGTTTGATCGGTTTTGTTATTTTATCTTTGAGGAACTTTTAAGAATATGTCGACTGTATATAATAGATGAGGAAGTGAAAATAGATAAAGTTTATTCAAAAAAATTATAAATACTTTTCATTACTTCATTAGGTGGTAATAAGTCAAGATTTGAATAGATGTGCTTCAACACACCAATCAATTTCGGAGTCTAAAAATGGAGGATATATAAAAGACAAAGAAAATAATAATAATGCATTTGTTGGTGAAATTTTAAACATACATTATCACTTACACTTTATTATCATAGTAACTTTACACAGATACACTTAATATTGAAATTGATGTGTTGCTTTTACTTATAAAATTGATGTAAAAGTTTGAGGTACTTATGACATTATCAACTAATCCACTCACTACAGATACTTCACTCTAAATTAATAAAAAACTTATTTTTATTTTTCAGTGGCGAAATAATAATATTTCATTTTAATCATTTGTCATAATAAGCATTCTAACAGAACAAGGGCTCAATATTGTCAATTGTATAAAAAGTTAGAGCTACAATTAGGTTCACCTTTATTACTAATACTATTAGCATACACTGTAAATGTGAATGAATGATAATCCATGAAAGTTAAATAAAGAAATAGCATGGTTGAGAAATAGTTATCACCAAAGATAATGAAAGAAACAATGTGAATCAATCAAAAGTACTAAGAACTTCTCTAAAATTTTGCGAAATCTTATTCATAGTTACACAGTATCTACATTCCGATCTAAGCATGAAAATATGTTTCTGCTTTTTATGAGTTTTATTCTAGGGTTTCTATCAGTACATGTTATGAATTTCCAGATGCAGAGGAATGAGTAATTATTTTCACTGATGCTTACTCAAACAAATTACAGATGCATTCGCTTTTGATTATATTGAGTAAATTTTAATCTATGATGTCTCTTTTTTTTGTAACTTCAATACTAAATGAAGAAGGATTTGACTAAATGGAGGTTTTAATTTATAAATTAAAACAAAATTCTGCATTTCGTGAATACTGGAAACTATTAACAAGATCAGATTATCCTAAATAAATATTAAAGACAATCAAATCTTTTTATTTTCATAAATTGCTAAATGTTCACACTGTTGTGAGACACAACTCACCTTTGAGAAACAAATGATGTAAAGGAAGATATGTGACTTTATAAACATTAAATCATCACTATCACAGAGAAAAAAACATCTTACAGCAATGACCGTATAGGCTTAAATGTACTAATTTATTTCAAAACATCTTGGTTTTCACACACGTTCAACCTAATAAATTACAGTTAATATCAAGACTTTGGTTTATTAACGAACAATAACTATTTATCAGACAATTCCAATGGATTATATGAGATCCGAAACAAGAAAAAGTGACTAAAAACAAGGATCGAATCATTTGTTTCACAGTTTATATAAGTTTAAATTAAAAGCTTCCTATGATATTTCTTGTTTTTCTACAGTAAATTACTATTATATAGTCTAAAATGTCACGAATTTCATTTCCTTGTTTTGCAGTTAAAGATTGCGTATTCTGATATATTTGAAAATGTTTCCTCTTTTCTACAACTACCATGTAATAGATAAATAATAAATTTAAGGGATATTTTATTGAATAACTTGTATCATAAAACTAAATAACCATAATTTTGATCAATATGAATTAAATAGAATTAGGTGGATAGTAACAATATTCGTCTTCATTCATCTTGTAAATAAATTATTTCAATAAAACACGATAAATGAGTCAATTAAACTTACATTTTGATAAAGTTTATAACCATAAAATTGATGAACATTATCCCCAATTAATGGTTGTTTAACTATAATTCCACATGATTGTAAATCACAGGGGTCAGTCCAAATAAATGTAATATTTTCAAATTTATGCACATGATGTAATGTCTGAATTAATGTTGAAATGAAAATAAAAACAAACAACAAAAAGAAAAACAACAGGACGAAAAAAAACGGTTGTTGTGTTTAGTTAAAATTCAATTCAAAATATTTATGTTATATGCATTCAAGATATTTTAGCTGTTTATTTGTTAATTGAATATGTTAATGTGAACAAATATTCATATATATATATATATATAAAATGAAAGCCAGTTTAATTGTGATTGTTTATATTTAATAATGAACATCAATGAAATCATTCATGTAACTAACTTTAAACGTTAATTAGTAAAACTATATCAATCGATCGAAGATGACCATAAAATTAAAAGATTTCATGATTGTAAATCGTGTAGTAAATGTATCATTGGTGGTTGTATATTATTTATCATAGCTTTTTGTATTAGTTTAAAGTGTCGTAGGTTTAACTGATTTACTAACATACTAAATTAAGTGATCTAACATTTTTACATTTATTATTGTCTGGTGAATTTATAAGTGTCTAGAGTATAAAATCTAAAAAAACATTGATTGCTTATTTGGCTCAAAACTGTATTTAATAACTCGATCGTTATTGAATTATAATTATTGGTTTTAAATAGTTCCAATAGTTATCATAAAGTAATCGTCTCGTGTATAAAAAGTTATTGTTAAGATTATTACTATTTAGGTCTTCTATCTCTTAGTCTTCTGGGAGCCAAACCAAGTAATTAAGGATATAAAAGTGTTGAATTCCTAGGATTTTCTTCCGTTGACAATTATTAGTACTGAACATCATGTATAAGGTGACAGTTTAAGGTCTAATTTGTTAGTTTTGCTTCAGATTACCTTAACTGAAGACTTTGAGGGAAAATCAAAATTTATTTACCAACTGGTCACAGACCAGTTAATCGTAAAAATTACTGAAATCAACAGTGCCAGCGCTGGTAGTGTAAGTCCTTGCCACCATTTTAACTCAAAGAATCCTGATGATATATAGCAGTCGACAGAAGTTAGTTTGTTATTGTTCGAGCAGATGTTGACCTAAAGTACTGTTCGATATGTCAATATCAGTTACTTATAGTTTGATTGCAGAAATATTAAAGCAGTTATCTTGTGACCAAACTTACAAATGGGTTAAATATGTGGCTTTTAATCTTGAATAATAAAGCACTAAATATTTTATTGTTCCAACTTCATATCTCCATCTAAATAATAAGTGTTTTTGATTACAGTCTTGCATTATTGAACTCAATAAAGTATTACTTGCATGCGCAATTTTTTGGAACATTCGTACAAATTGTGTTGAGATTTCAAGAAACATTCTGGGTGATTACGTAAGAGAATAAAGTAAAAGTAATGAAATTTGGTTCTTCACATCCGAAAAGTGATTAAATCACCCAATGTAGACTCTATCATTCACTATACTATCGTTACAAGACAAAGCGTTTCGATACGTATCTGGATACTGATATACATTGATACAAATTGAGGCATCCATTCAAAGATATATGTGGCACTAAATATATGTTTTCAAAAGATCATAGTTAATTGCAACTGGACCTCAAAAAAATATGCCAATTCCCATATTTTATTTCTTTACACACAATCTCATTTTTAGAAAGCAGCTCGTAAAGTTAAAATCACCAGGTTTGCAAATTATATTGTTTTTTAATGAGTTTTCATTGAAACTGGTCATTTTTTGCCAAGTAAACTCTCTGAAAGTATTAATTAACCATTATAATCAATCGTTGCTTCAGGAATCAAACTGCTTTTCACATTTATGTAGACAACGTGACACAAAACTGTCACTGCATGTATTATAAAATTCAATCCAACTTACCGAATTTCGTGAACCAATAACACTAATTCCACTGGTGTCTACACGTATCCTAATTCTTTTCTTGTGTAATTTTGATGTAAGCAACTGAGTTTTAAGTAATCCGAGTGAGCTTTCGCAAATAAAATCACCACGAGGCTCAGAGACGGAAGTATTTCCGAAGAATTTAGCACGATATATCTGTGGCACAAAATTCTCTAATGATCCGTGTGTTTTGGATTCTTTGGCCTCCTTTTCAGATGTATCCGAACTGACTTCTACTTCATCTTGAAATATATTATCTCTTTTAGTAACATTTTAATGATTTACCTATATCACAAGGATTCATTTTTTCATTTTCTTGAGTCATATTATTCTATCTTGGTATCACCTAAAATTAAGTGTCAAAAAGGTTTTAGTTAGCCTGTTTGTTCAGAGCAGCTGGAACCAAAGCGATGCAGGGTTGGAAAACCGTTTATTATGTATATGTATATAAATCCATGGAATGAATGATCACTTATGCGTCTTACAGTAGTGATCTTGTTAGTTTGGTTAAAAGTTTTTATTTAAGGCCTCAAGTCAAGCACTGGAGCTATATCAAAGAACAAACCCATGTCGGATTGCCATCTTTCCTTGGACAACCAACTTAAATATCACACTTTACGTTACCTTTACTCATATTTAAACACATCGTTTCCCCCAACCATTTTTACATTTCTCAATTATTTTTTCGTGGTGCTAATTGCAAGATACCTAGCAACCAGTTATTCTTGGCTTTATTTTATCCAGTGAATCCCAACACAAAAGATATATATTCGATTGTCAGCTACAGACTTTGAAAAATATCGGTCTATTCTAAATAGGTTTGTCGAACAAATATCAAGCTTTGGTTCTGCTTTTTGTATATCCCTCTAGGTATGGACAATCTTCAGTACCGGACTCAGTTTTCACTTATGGCGATCATGTTAGCCAAATTAAGTGCCTTTCGTTTACAAGGACAATTGATTGCGCAGTCATAATAGTCAAAGTCATTACTGTAAAGCTTTACCAAACAGACTGGTTGATCCGTCCTCATATATGGAAGGCAAATATAAAGACAGCCTTGGACATTTCCAAAGACGAAGCAACTACCAATTCTGTGTTTAAAGTAAAAAACTATATGACATCTCCGTCAGTCGTAGGAAATGTATCAACACAACTCATCTTGCTCAGATAATATACAGAAATGAATTTGTTGGAACTGCAAACAAACAATGAAAGAGACCAATGTTGTATGTCGATAACAGTAAAATAAATTCTTTGGGAAGGTAACTCGGTTACATATGTGAGTAAATGTCAGGCGGAAAGCGGAAACAAGACCAAGCGGAAGTAATTGCTGGTTACTGTGTGACGGTTTTCAGTTATGTGTACCTCGTGATTTAAGGCTAGCTACAGAAACAATTTAACCAAACTGGATACTCACTATGGAATTCAACTAGAATTACACACACAGGAAAATAAACATTTCCGAGTGCGTTTCACCTCAGACTTTTTAGATAGCTTTAAATTTACTTAGCTTACTCCTCTCCACCATATTCAGAATATCTCGCTGCTGTAATGAACAACCAATGAACTGAAGAGTAGGTCTATCACTCTGGTTTACAATATATGAAAATAAAGTTCATCAAACCTCATACCTATTAGTGACAGTAATGTTGTTGTTAAAATGTTGAAATAATAGCCAAAAAACTATCATGAAAATCAAAAAGATAAGCGGCTAAATAAACAGTACGCAAAGTGATTTTAGAGAAGACTCATCATTCGTAACAAACATTTTGATAGCAAGAAAGAGGTATAGGGAGTTTTCTGACCTCTTTAAAGCTTTTGGTACAGGGAATCATAAAACAATCGTAATGAGGCTGAGAGTTTTAAGAGTATTCGATCGAACATAAACGGAAGACATATTGGGAGGGATACAGCGAAAAAAATAACAGGCACTAAATGATCCACTAGGGAACAAGTACTTAGTGGAGTATGACAGGGCTAGGTTTCAGGTCTCTTACTATACATGCTCTGTGCAAGTAAAATCTTACATACTGTTAAGTTTGTAATGCTTCTTAGCAGTGATCAAGTCGAAATCTTGAGGAAAGTGACAAAAAATACACATGTATTTGCCTCCTAGTCAAATATGAAATTACTGATAAGGTAGTCTAAATTCTGATTTATTTTCGACAAAGTGACTTAGTCTGTCAATCTTCGGGGTGGATAGGTTGACGTATCGGAATTATCGGAATTTTTGAGCGCATATCACAATAATCCATGGAATTTAGAGGGTCTTAACCATATTATTAAACCTCTTTAGTATTCAGCTGCTATTAAAAAACTATAAACTTGCGGATTTTAAAACGGAAATGGACCTATTTAGATACAAACATTGTTCAACCTTGTGTATTTGGTCCAAGTGATATCAAACTAGAAACCTTGTTTAGACCAAAAGCCACTGTTTGATACTTCATTAATACCTTTTATATAAAGTAAAAAGGATAATTGCTCATTTACATCCGGAATACCAGGACCTCCCAATACAGTGCGAGTCTAAAATATTTAAACCGTTTTTCTTTGTATTGTAGCCAAAAGCGAGTTGACTTAGTTATGATACCAGGAACGACGACAGATGATTTTGGGTCTGATTTATCATCCGTTTTTCTTCCATCTTGTTCAACTGAATTCAGAGGATATAACATATGAGTTCACGATTAAAGAGTTAACTAAAGCACTCTTAGCCTTAATCATATCTTGGAACTTGATAACGAAAATAATTTATTTCTTCGCCCTTAACTTTCTTGTTCAAAACAAGATCAGGTTACTAAAAATGTACCAGAAGAGAATTAACACAGGTTGTCGGCCGTCCGTTTCAACACACAAAATTGGGTATGGAACTACAAGAAAACATGGTCAGAAGCCATCAATGCAGGGATTATAGTTAAAGAGATAAAATATGAAGAATTCTCCCTATAAGGCCTTAAACGTAGTAAATTTACCACCTAGAACATTACTAATAATGTATATATGTTTAAACGTCATATCCCATGAGAAAAATGGGGAATCTCCGCTCCATTTAACGACACCGTTGTGGCCACAAGAATGAAATTATCTGTCTTTGACAGCAAGTTACCATGAATGATAACCGGCAAATAGTCGTTTTTTAAGAAAAGATAACCTGAGATAACGGTCCAAAATGAATATCTACACAATTTATAAGATTTCACTTATGAACAGTTTGTAAAAAAACGAATCGAAAATTTTAAAAGAAGATCACGTTATTTTAAATATATTTAGCATAATTAGAATAATTTTAGGACTTTTCATCAATAGAAATTTTGAATGATAACATTACCTATGGTAATTAGATACACAATATGCAATCTATTTGCAGTCAGCAACAAACTTTGGTGATGAGTAAAATTTGTTGAGGCATTCCGTTCACGATAACATACAACACAATTCGTTATATTTACCAAAAGACCCAAGAAGTAGCAACTTCAAACAACGTGTACAACATCCAATATTGCTTGACTAACTACCATCTGACAAGCGACACAGTGTGGAAAATTTTAATTGACTTTTCATAATCGTATGCTGAAGAAAAGACTGCTTCGAACTTAGCAGGAACATTTCAAAGTCCATAATCGATATCAGGCCAAAAGAATAACAGCCCTAGTATGCTGTAATTCCGTCGCAAAAAAACCTCCGCCTGATCTGCTTGATCTAACTTAGAAGCCAAATCAATTTCCACACTAAATCTTGATTGCCAGAAATATTGTTGTTTAAGGGATTTCAAGGGCGCACAGAAGCTTACTAATAGAGTAATACCAATGTTATAAATATAAGGCGGGGAATTGAAAAAAACTTACAAGATTAAGCCGAGAAATCGTAGTCGGATGTTCTTGTTGACCAATACCAAACAATCAACGTCAAATCTTCAGCTGTCTACCTAAAAATACTCAAAGGTTGTACATTTACATGGAGAGAATAACAAGAAAACCAAAAGTAAGATCCAGGAACAACTGAAGTCACAGTTAGATATTTTTGAAAACGAGGCTGAACCAGATGCTTCTTGGAAAGATATACAATCAGCTGTGGAACCAGCAGTGACATCTATTAGTGATTTAAACCACAAGGTTACAAAGAACCAATGGACTTCTTCAAAGTCTGTTGCACTGACAGATTCTGGTAAGCTCATCTCACCAGGCTCTGAACACGACGAAGAGCGAAAACAAATCAGATCTAGGTTAGCCAAAAGTCTATGGAATGACTGTGAGCAGTGGTGGGCAACGAAAACAAAAGAGATGGAAAAGGCGGCGGCTATAGGGAACACAAGACAGCTCTTCAGGCTAATAAAAAAACTGGAATTAATAAGTCGAATGTAAGTGAGACTATCTCGGCAAAAGACGACACTCTCATCTGCTCCCAGTCCAGACGTTTAGAACGATGAGTGGAACATTTTAGAGAACAGTTCAGCCGGCCTTCAGCTACTCTACAACTACCCTCCATCCCCAGACAGTGTGAATGGAACATTGAAGTAGGTCCCCCAACTCTAGCAGAAGTTCAAAAGGCTATAGTTAATCTGAAAAGAGGAAGGGCAGCTGGTCTGGATGGATTGGCTCCAGAGGTCTTTAAGGATGATGGTCTAATTTTAGCGATAAGGTTGACTGATATTTTAGTTAAAATCTGGGAGTTGGACGTTATCCCATCTGACTGGTCACAATCACTTGTCGTCCCAATATATAAGAGAAGAACAAAATCATCCTGTGACAACCATAGAGGAATAGTTTAACTTGTATAGCATCTAAAATATTAACCTCGATAATTATCGGTCGCCTAACTAAGACTCTAGAACTGCAAACACGAGAGAATCAATCTGGCTTGAGACCTGGTCGTGGCTGTATCGACCACACATTCACCATTCGTCAGGTTCTAGAACACAGGCATACTTATCGGCTTCCGACATTGGTGATGTTTCTTGACTTAAAAGCGGCATTTGACTCGGTAGACCGCGAGATTCTGTGCCAGTGTCTGTCATTGAAAGGCGTACCTCAGAAGTACATAAACCTTGTGAAGGCTCTTTACTCGAACATTACTAGTCGAGTCAGAGCTTATGGCGAACTGTCATCTGCTTTTTCAACCTCAAGTGTTGTCCGTCAAGGCTGTCCACTTTCTCCATTTCTGTTTAACTTCATCATAGATCTACTGATGGAAATAACACTCTCATCGACTGAATTCTCGGGTATTGATCTCTTGCCAGGAGGTTCACTTATGGACTTAGAATACGCGGATGATATAGTCTTGTTTGGTGAAGATGCTGATAAAATGCAGAGTCTTTTGGTAGCACTGGGCAACGATGCCAGAATGTTTGGAATGTACTTTTTTCTCCTTCTAAACGCAAGTTGTTGATTCAGAACTGGTCTGCGTCAACACCTGAACTAAGGAAAGGGAGTGAAGCAGCCGAACGCGTTGACGACTTCACTTATCTTGGAAGTCTGATCAGCCCTAATGGGTTGGTGTCTGACGAAACCTCAGCACGGATTTGAAAAGCCCGTTTGGCTTTTGCCAACTTACGTCACCTGTGGCGAAGGCGAGATATCTGTCTATCGATTGAGAGACGAGTATACTGCACGGCAGTCCGTTCTGTTCTAATTTACGGCAGCGAAACATGGCCATTAAGAGTAGAAGATACTCGTATGCTACTAGTATTTGACCACAGATGCCTTAGAAATATTGCTGGTGTCTGCTGGGATCACTGGGTAAGTAATAGTGAGGTTAGACGCGCAGGGTATTAGGGGATGATGGTAAATCAGTTGATCAGGTTGTGTGTCTTCATCGACTGAGATGGTTGGGCCACGTGTTACGTATGTCTGAACACCGATTACCACGACGTGCAATGCTAACCAGTGTTGGAGATGGCTGGAAGAAAGTTAGGGGCGGCCAAACCAAAACGTGGCATCAGTGCTGGAAGTCACTAACTTCTGGTCTGAGTCATGTTGTTAGATTCAGAGTACTTGGTTGTGGTCCGTGTGACTATCGAATCGAATGGTTGACTGTAGGTGACATGGCTGAGAAACGATCACAATGGCGTCGGTGTATACGCCGTCTGTGTTCCTTTAAACAAAGAGATTAAAATTGCTTCATATCTTTCTTCGTACTAAATCTTTATTCCTGTACTATACCCTTATACCCAATCTTTCTTATACAATCCCAAACCTTGCTAACATCAATTGCCAGCGTTCTTGTATTTATTTCTGTAAAGTAACCGAATGCTGCTAAGGCTTGTTAACGAGGAATCATAGATAAACTTAGTCATTTGTATCGACCTTACTTGTTTGAATGCCTCTTTAGTAGATACTGTAACTGGTTTCCAGAACTTCACACTGATAATAACGCCATCAACACTAATGGAATAGCGGCATTTTTCATTACACATTTTCTCTGGACTGTTCTTAGCAAAACTCTAGATCCACTGTATGATCGACAGTCCTGTTGAATCAAAAACACGTGACTAAAACGTAGCTTTCAACAATACCGTGACCTAGGAAATGTAACAATTGCCTAGTTTGCTTATGACAGGAAAAGCAACAAATAGAAGGCCAAATAACCTTATCGACTGATCAACTTCATTTCGTCCCTCTTTAAACGTGTCTCAAGGTTTCATCATCCCACAAGTCATTAGCAGTGGCGGCTGCTTCCCCTACAACTCGGAAGCTTTCAGAACTATCTGCTCAATCTTTTTATGTTTGGAGAGCAGATACCCAAACGGCTCCTTATGCGATGGTTTCGAAGAATAAGTTCTAAGTGAGCATCTTAGAAATGCACCAAGGACAATTAAAGAAGTCAACAGGTTCTCGACGAAGCTATGAACCCATCATTGTAATTCGCTTATACAGCAATGAGAATCATGCAGGATGAATAAAGACGTCTGTAGTGATGCAAGACGGTCGTACTGCCTAGTGTGATATTAGTGGACAGCCGTTCATATCATAACGCCAACCCCCCCACACAAGTCACAGCAAATATTTCATAACTAGGTAGCTAGCTAGTTTCGTGCTCATGACTTGGGAATTGAAAACAGCGATAATTTCGTTGTACTATACGGTCGTTCTTATAGGGATAAATGATTATTTGACGAAATACTAAATAACAAATTTTGTGGTAAGGGAAATTTAAAGAGAGGATAAAAGCATGTCACAGACGATTCGCAAAAACATGAATTTGAATCCGAATAAATGACAAATAATAAAAGTCAGTTGAAAGCACAGAAATCAAGAATCATGAAAAGTCACAGCCAGACGAGCTTCATGTATTTGTATCCGTATCTCTTGAGTCTGTAGAGTTTGTTCCTTCAACGAGCCGTAGTAAAATCATTCGTGCAACTGTACAAATGTAAGGACATGTCATTAATGTGATATTAATTAACAGAAATACATATTAGTTTACATATCCCAAGGTTATATAGGTTCAATAAAAGTGATACTTGACTTCTTATAAACAAACAATCAGAACATAAAGATTATTCAAGTTCGCTTAAACAAACGAAGCATAAAGTATCATCGTAAAGTAGTGAGAAATCTTGGGATGATAGTACATCTTATTAGAGCCACCAAATATATATATATATATATATATAAGATTACTCAAATATACAGAGTGAAAATACAACTTATAAGGCTGTTACATAACCACTTCGAGTAGTAGGTTTCATATAGGATAACATTGTAAAACAAACTTATTAATACTCAGGATATTTTGAAAAATTTATTAATTTTACAAACAATTAGTTATTGTTTTAATATATAATCTTTCTAAATTAAATGAGTGTGATAAACACTTATTGCTAATAAGATGATCACTCTTTATATAGTCTAATGTAATCATTCCGACTGAATAGATTTACCTCTCACTGTGAATTCACTGTATTATACAGAAAATGCATTCAAAAAAACGAGACCCACGAGGTCGCAGGTTATTGTAAGTAGAATTATCGATCATCTTTTTTTAGTAGGTCTCTGAGTACTTTCGTGATTCTTTTCTCAGTGGAGTCAGTTAAGTCTTTGTTACTTTTTTCCAACTTGAATCTCGTGTGGTCACTCAAAATGGAATTCATCTTAGAGACATAATCTGTTGTGTTCATTAGAACAACACTTGAACATTTATCTGACCGTAATATCATTATATCATCATTTCGCTTAATATTTCGTAATGCTGTTAGGTGGTCTTTGGATAAAAGCTTAGATTGCGGTGTGGGTGAGACGAGGTATTGGTTTGCGATATCGACTAGTTTAGATTTAAACCAGCCTTTCTTTTCTTCGCTAACTGGGTGCAACTCTTTAATTTGATCAAATAAATTCTCAAATTGAGTTTCTGTGTCGATTCTATCGGTATGTGTTTTGGGGATATGAAATTTAAATCCAAGAGACAAGGCTTCTGTTTCTATCTGATTTAACTTCACTGTTGATAGATTGTAGAGAGAATTTTCAGGAAAGCCAAAGCAAAGTTGTCCCTTTGATAGGGTCTTGAACAAAGTTTCGTGGAAGTTCTTGCTTATTTGGTTTTGCAATGCTTGAATAAAATTGATAAATTTTATGCGACATACGATACTCATATATTTAACTAATTCATCAAAGGTATTAATTTTTGTCCTCAAACGTTCAACCAGAAACTTTGTAGATTCTATGTGAGATTTATTGATGCGTCGAACATATCCTGCAGCTAAATTGATTGTCCTGTCCAAAACAACATGTTCTTTGACACAATCAAAGGTCGACAGGTATCCCTTTCATGTTACCACCAACTGTGTATACAAATTTACATGTATCTGCCAAAGCAGTTACATTGGTAGAGCAAAAAGGAGAGCCTACGTCCGATTCAAAGAACACATTCCGAAGAGTTTGAGATCAAACGGACTAAAAACATTTAGCAGCGCTGTCGCAAGACATCTCCTTGACACAGGACACGAAGTCGATATGCTGAAGTCCTTCAAGGTGATCAACAAACAGTCAAATTGAAATCTTTTAAAATTCGCCGAAGCAAACGTTGAAAACCAGATCTTTGTATACAAAAAGAAACAGTAATAAATCTTTCTTTGCCCTGATAATATTCACCCCATCCCCTTTTATTTTTACTTATTTTTATTACGTCATTCTAACTCTCTGAATTTTATTACATCATTCATAACTGACCAATTTTAATTCATATCTCTCTTTATTAACATTAATCTATTTTCAGTTATTTCATTACATAATCGTCTAATGTGTTTTAATTCCATGATTTCTAATCACTATCTCAATTTTCTGGAACTTTTCCTCCCAAACTCTATATATTCGAAACAAAAACTTTTATAACCTCACTAACTCTAACGAAATCTTTGCTACATTATGTTGCATATATTCATCCTTCATCTAACTTTGAACTTCAAATATTTTAGGTTGTAAGCAGCTGAACCTAACGAAATAAAATGAATTCATATTAATCTGCACCAATCATTGTTCTTTCTCTTTTCAAAATAATAAATGGAACTATGTGTATAAATTAGTTCTGATTCAGTGACAATCATTTTGTTGTTTAACTGCAAGAAGATGACTGTGAAGACAGAAATCTGGACAAAATTGTAGGTATATCATTCAAATTTATTTTCTATATACAGTGAAACAATTAAACCGGCAACACTGAAATTAGGTGTGCAAAAATGAGGTTACGAGATTAGGAACTACAATACTTCGAGATAAAGTAGGACAGATAGTAATTATTTGACTGATTATACAGTGTTAATTGAAGCAGAGATTTAGCGAAGAAGGCCATTATGAAGTTGGTTGATAACAGGGTTATATTTGAAGCTGATTCAAGAAGTAAGACAGCTCTTCGAATAGTTGTTATGCTATACTGGTTCGATATTTACTTCAAATTTAGAATGAGAAATATATCACGATATTCACATTTGAATCAAGAGAAGTCTACGAACGCTTTAGCAGAGGTTTGTACAGATCGCTGAATTCTATAATATACATAATGAAGTGATCTTAGTTACAATACACTGAGAAACATGAAGTACTGGACAGTTTTTTCAACCCTTATATTAATCATAATTATCTGCTCCCTTGTAAATAATTTCAAGAGGTATTTCTCGGACACTCAGTGAAAAGACTCGATCAGTGGAATTCAACTACGTTGCGTGTAAAGCAGTTAACAACAGATAGCATTGAAAAATGGTTGTAGAATATCGTGAATTGATTGACGTAAGACGTGCAAACCACAAAATGTTAGTTGAATAGTTTAAAGGTTGAGGAGATAACGTGAGATATGAACGTCCTGCGTTTGAAAGTTGTCCTGTGCTCCTGGTTTTCAATGGTTGTCTAAAGTCAGTTCGTGATGCCAATTATAAAAGTAAAATATGGTGTATAATGAAATAATAAATGCCTTTAGTTTTGACAGATGTAAAGTAAATAAAAATTGCACTCACCACGACCAGCTCGTAGACGTGCGATACTATCCAAGTGATTATTACCAGAACTTAACATTTTTTTTGTTCTTATTTCATTTGCTTGACATATCTGTATAACATTAGTTAGTAAACGATTGAACAAATGATTTAGTGAGTTAAATGTTTGTTAGGTAAAATGAAAATCTACTCTTATTTTGACAGTCAGTAAGAGACTTAAAGTTTTCTATGAGTGTATGCAACGTTAATTTGTAGAATTTCTGTCAAACCAGGTTAGAGACTTTGTTTATAAGTCTGTCATTTTGCTATAAAAGGAATAACGACTCTAATTTTCCAAACTAATCATTTAGTTTTTTTATGTTTATTTCTCTTCTCTTGATTGCTGAGTCGGGAAATCATCTCACACTTTACGCGCCTTTTTTGCACTGCCATATAAAATAACTATACGGCCTCCTTTCGAACCCGGATATTTTATTAACTAATAATATTGAGTAATTAAAATTCCGTTAGATTTTCAAGTTTCGTTACGAGTAATAATAAAGCACAACCTAACATATAAAAATATAATAATTAACATCATACAGTAATTTCGATTAGTGTTTGTCTATCTGTGCAGAACATACTGATAAAGTTAGACAAGAATGTCAACAGACCTGACTTGCTTCTTCTTCATGCTGTTTTACTACTTTCATAAACGCTGATTCACCATGGTCATCACCATCGTCAACATCACTTTGTTCGTATATATTTGGATCAGGTTCAATTATTTTTATGGACCGATCAATTCCACTGACAGCAATCACTAAATCAGTTAAACGATTGGTAGATTAAAATATTACTGTAAGAGCAACAAAATAAACAAATACAAGTAGGTATTCTGCCTTCAGTTCAATTTCAGTCAGCTGCAACGTAGGACCAGGCACAAATATGCATCGGTCCAAGTTGCTATACCGCATTAGTATAAAAAAATGAACACCAAATTCATAGAAGTAATTAATTCAGTGGTGGTAATATATAAAAGAAAGATTGCAAATAAGGGCATAGTACAGGAAGAAAGATTTAGTACGTAGAAAGAAAGATATGAAGCAATTTTAATCTCTTAGTTTAAAGGAACACAGAGGGTATATACACCGACGCCATTGTGATCGTTTCTCAGCCATGTCATCAACCATTCGATTCGATAGTCACACGGACCACAACCAAGTACTCTGAATCTAACAACATGACTCAGACCAGAAGTTAGTGACTTCCAGCACTGATGCCACGTTTTGGTTTGGCCGCCACTAACTTTCTTCCAACCATCTCCAACACTGGTTAGCATTGCACATCGTAGTAATCGGTGTTCAGGCATACGTAACACGTGGCCCAACCATCTCAGTCGATGAAGACACACAACCTGATCAACTGATTTACCATCATTCCCTAATACCCTGCGTCTAACCTCACTATTACTTACCCAGTGATCCCAGCAGACACCAGGCATCTGTGGTCAAATACTAGTAGCATACGAGTATCTTCTACTCTTAATGGCCATGTTTCGCTGCCGTAAATTAGAACAGAACGGACTGCCGTGCAGTATACTCGTCTCTCAATCGATAGACAGATATCTTGCCTTCGCCATAGGCGACGTAAGTTGGCAAAAGCCAAACGGGCTTTTCAAATCCGTGCTGAGATTTCGTCAGACACCAACCCATTAGGGTTGATCAGACTTCCAAGATAAGTGAAGTCGTCAACGCGTTCGGCTGCTTCACTCCCTTTCCTTAGTTCAGGTGTTAACGCAGACCAGTTCTGAAGCAACAACTTGCGTTTAGAAGGAGAGAAAAGTACATTCCAAACATTCTTTTATAGTTGCCCAGTGCTACCAAAAGACTCTGCATTTTATCAGCATCTTCACCAAACAGGACTATATCATCCGCGTATTCTAAGTCCATAAGTGAACCTCCTGGCAAGAGATCAATACCCGAGAATCCAGTCGATGAGAGCGTTATTTCCATCAGTAGATCTATGATGAAGTTAAATAAAAGTGGAGAAAGTGGACAGCCTTGACGGACACCACTTGAGGTTGAAAAAGCAGATGACAGTTCGCCATAAGCTCTGACTCGACTAGTAATGTTCGAGTAAAGAGCCTTCACAAGGTTTATGTACTTCTGAGGTACGCCTTTCAATGACAGACACTGGCACAGAATCTCGCGGTCTACCGAGTCAAATGCCGCTTTTAAGTCAAGAAACATCACCAATGTCGGAAGCCGATAAGTATGCCTGTGTTCTAGAACCTGACGAATGGTGAATGTGTGGTCGATACAGCCACGACCAGGTCTCAAGCCAGATTGATTCTCTCGTGTTTGCAGTTTTAGAGTCTTAGTTAGGCGACCGATAATTATCGAGGCTAATATTTTAGATGCTATATAAGTTAAACTATTCCTATATGGTTGTCACAGGATGATTTTGTTCTTCTCTTATATATTGGGACGACAAGTGATTGTGACCAGTCAGATGGGATAACGTCCAACTCCCAGATTTTAACTAAAATATTAGTCAACCTTATCGCTAAAATTGGATCACCATCCTTAAAGACCTCTGGAGCCAATCCATCCGGACCAGCTGCCCTTCCTCTTTTCAGATTAACTATAGCCTTTTGAACTTCTGCTAGAGTTGGGGGACTTCAATGTTCCATTCACACTGTCTGGGAATGGAGGGTAGTTGTAGAGTAGATGAAGGCCGGCTGAACTGTTCTCTAAAATGTTCCACTCATCGTTCTAAACGTCTGGACTGGGAGCAGATGAGAGTGTCGTCTTTTGCCGAGATAGTCTCACTTACATTCGACTTATTAATTCCAGTTTTTTTATTAGCCTGAAGAGCTGTCTTGTGTTCCCTATAGCCGCCGCCTTTTCCATCTCTTTTGCTTTCGTTGCCCACCACTGCTCACAGTCAATCCATAGACTTTTGGTTAACCTAGATCTGATTTGTTTTCGCTCTTCGTCGTGTTCAGAGCCTGGTGAGATGAGCTTACCAGAATCTGTCAGTGCAACAGACTTTGAAAAAATCCATTGGTTCTTTGTAACCCTGTGGTTTAAATCACTAATAGATGTCACTGCTGGTTCCACAGCTGATTGTATATCTTTCCAAGCAGCATCTGGGTCAGCCTCGTTTTCAGAACTATCTAACTGTGACTTCAGTTGTTCCTGGAACTTAATTTTGGTTTTCTCGTTATACAGTTTAGTTCTAAGAGGCCTTTTAAACGCGCTTTTTTGCGTCCAGTGAGGCGCAAGCAGGTGCGTGCCCGTATTAGGGCACGGTCGGAGTTCAAGCAGGTACTCCAGAATGAGCGACAATCTTCTATCGACCCTCTCCAACGATGACTGATGGCAATATGATCTATTTGAGTCCATCGTTGGTATGGTGCAGATGGTCGCCATGTTAGACGATGTCTATCTTTATGCTTAAAATTTGTGTTTCCTAAAAGTAAACGATTGTCTGAGGACAGTTGCAGCAGACGGTCACCACTATCTGTTCACTGTGCCGGAATACTGAAATACACACGTAAATGTCTTTCTGTTCGGTTTAAACTACCTATCTGGGCATTAAAGTCATCCCCTACGAGTACTATGTCTGAACGTTTAGCAATCTAAAGAAGTTCAGAGAGCTTTCTGTAAAATTCATCTTTCACTTCATTCGAGCTGCAGTCAGTAGGCAGAAACGACAAAAAGGCAACAACGTGTGTCCCTATACTTCCGAGTTCTTACGTAGCCGTTTAGCCGAACAGCACATAAGCGATTGTTAACGGGGATCCACTCTAACAGTGCTTGTTCCGTCCTCGAGCTTAGTGCTATGCCTACACCTGCCAGTCCATGAGAACTGGCCGTCGGGTCGCCAGATGCATGAAGGGTGTATCTCGTCGGTTCTCCGTTTTGCCGAGGTGAGGTTAAGTGAATGACCACACTGGGATCATGAATGCGTGTTTCAGAGACACAACATACATCAATCGTACGAAATTCTAGGGTTTTAAGCCAAGGAGGCCTGCTGACCGATTTGGCATAGTATGTGTACGTTGAAGGCTTCAATGTGTAGATTGGAGCGAGGTTTCAGTAGACCTGGGACAGTGTTTTGCGCACTAGAATCGTTCGCTATGGTGACACTTGAGGGGGAAGCCGAAAGAGGAAGTTTAAAGTTAAAAGTCGATGTAGGAGGAATAATAGAAATTGAAGAGGGAGGTTCATTATGAATACAGTGGTCTTGAGTGCTGTTAGAGGTATGAGGGCGGTTATCACTTCCCGGTTGCCCACATCAAGGAAGAGTTGTTCTGGAGTTACCTGAAAAGGAAATTCCATTAGAGGTGGTCATAGTGACCTGAGAGCGTGACCGCAGTGCCCAAGGGACAACTGCTTGACGTCGGTCACACACGACCTTTTTATGGTTAATTTTTGTGTTAGCTCCGTACTTGTTGAGACCTTGCCGGCGGAGACAGATACCCATGGGATAAGGTGAGGCGCGCATTTTTAGGGTCGACCTTTTCTAAACCCACCCCTCCTTGTGGGAAGGCAGCATCGCCGTCATGCTGGTTGTCTGAAGGAAACGCCTTACTGCTGTCACACCTCTGTACAGTCAGTAGTACGATTTCGCCTTCGGACCTTGGAATTGTTGCTTTTAGTCTTACCCCTCTTCAGCCGACCTGTCTGGCATGGTAGGACCTTGAGGGATGGTTGTTCCAGTCAGTAGAACTCGGTTGCTTCATTAAGATAGGCAAGCCCGACCACCACGTCAAGGTAGCAACAACGGTCGAGTCAGTTCAATCTGTATGAGTGACAAATAAAAAAGTAAAATGGAAAATTTTCTTAACCTATGTCATAACCTCAAAGTAAACAAACATTTATTGTTGGGAAAGGCTGTTAAAGTACGCATTTGAAGTAGTTTAAAAGACACAAGACTACACGCTAACATAATCTACTAGTGGTAATGTTAACTAACTTGGAAAAAGAGGGTGAGGAATAATTCGATTTACTACAGATGTATCTGCTTTAATTGCAAGTGCAGGCTTTCCTGTATTACGATCCCATGCAATTAAATGACCACATTCAGATCCGGACAGAATAAAATTCCGCCCCCAAAATGTTGACACTTTGACCTGTAAATCAATAAAATATGGTAATCTAATTTAATTATCTAATACATAATGTACGAAAGTAAAATGTCTAACCCTTGGCTCAATCAGTAGAAAAATTAAGTAAATCATGATACATGCAAGTAGACTAAAATTCTAAAACAAAACAGTGGATGCTACTCACAACATTGCTTGTAAGTAGTATGTTGCCGAACGTAGCCTCAAAGTTGTCGAATAGAGTGAACAGTTTTAGTACAGCGGAAGTACGGCATTGGCAGAACATATTGGAAGATGCAAATGGACGATTGAAAGCTATGCATATGTATTGCCTTGCAACATCTCGCAATAACTACACATTCGCCTTTTGGTGGAGTTTTGTTCTCTGAGCTGGATGGTTTGGTCGTGCAGCTTTCATCGTTCTTCTGAACGACATCATCAGCACAAACTTCAATTAGAAGTGAAGTGTTCGAATTTCTCCATATGTGTTTCACAGCTTGTTCTGTGCACCTCGATGTTGATTGGTTCTTGTTGACCTTAAATTTATCATTGTTTACTTCTTTGTTTTGGTTGTCTCCCATTGGTTTGATTTTCGTTCCTATATTTATGCACGATTTTTCTGATTGGTTGATAAATTGGATTGATTTCAATATGTTTGTTGATTGCTGATTGACCTGAGTGCCAGGCTTCTAAAAATTCTCTGGTGTATTTGGAGTTTCCTCTGTCTAAGATTTCCACATTTTCCCAATCGAATGAGTGTCCGTAGTTATCCACGTGTATTGATATAAGTGAAGAGATATCATGGCGTTTGACTGCTAATTGATGTTCATGTAAGCGTAGATGGAGGGGACGTCCGCTTTGTCCGATGTAGTGTTTGTCGCAGTTGGTACAATTTATTTTGTAGATGATGTTTGATTTGTTTTCCTTTGTTATTTCATCCTTTGGTTTGCATAGGATTGATTGTAGTGATTTTGTTGGTTTGTGTGCCACGGACAAAGCGGACGCCCCCTCCATCTACACTTACATGAACATCAATTAGCAGTCAAACGCCATGATATCTCTTCACTTATATCAATACACGTGGATAACTACGGACACTCATTCGATTGGGAAAATGTGGAAATCTTAGACAGAGGAAACTCCAAATACACCAGAGAATTTTTAGAAGCCTGGCACTCAGGTCAATCAGCAATCAACAAACATATTGAAATCAATCCAATTTATCAACCAATCAGAAAAATCGTGCATAAATATAGGAACGAAAATCAAACCAATGGGAGACAACCAAAACAAAGAAGTAAACAATGATAAATTTAAGGTCAACAAGAACCAATCAACATCGAGGTGCACAGAACAAGCTGTGAAACACATATGGAGAAATTCGAACACTTCACTTCTAATTGAAGTTTGTGCTGATGATGTCGTTCAGAAGAACGATGAAAGCTCCACGACCAAACCATCCAGCTCAGAGAACAAAACTCCACCAAAATCATCCACCTGAGCTACAAATCTTCTCCACCATATTCGCCTTTTCTTTGTCATGTTTTTTAAAAGCAGATAGCTAAGTTCACATAATAAGAAAAAAGTTGACCTATTAATTATTTTTGAACCAAAAGACTCTTGTCTTCTCGGCGGGACTATACATGGACAAACTTTGAGTGAGGCCAAAGTGACCTTGAGATAATTCAACTACCTGCTAAATTCGAGAGTGTAAGGACTAAGATCAGAAGTTACAAGTTATTGTTTTAGAATTACAGTCACAGTTTTAATTACGAACTGATATCAGTTACAATACCAAAATACTATTTAACCACATGAATAAATTTTGAGCCGAAATTCAAGACTTGTTATCTTAAATCCTATTGATTCGTCTATAATTTATAGCTTCTGCACTTGTCCGCTAACGTTGACTAGCTAAAAATAGGCAAATTAAAGTGCTCCAACACACTGTAAATTATATCCTGCTAGGAATTTACAAAACAGTTTGACAGGAACCCAATCTGAAGAGATTAGAAAAATGTAATCACATCTAGAAATACAGTAATGTGGTAAGAAATGAACAAAAGCTACATCTTACTATAACAATGTACAAAATTCAACTCTCTATGAACTTACACGCTTTATTCATACGAATTAAGGCACTTAAGCAATTGGCTGATATTTTTATGATCTCTCAAACCATAACTTGCAACATCTGTCTATTAAAGATTTGGGGTAAATGAGAATTTTCAAACAACTTGAATATCATCGAACACAAATATTCTTATGGTACAATATCGTTCAGTGTTAAGGATAATTCAAATATAACAGATGAGATTTGATTTGAGAGAGTGGATTAGCATACAACTAAACGTGAATAGTATTGACAGAATTAATAAATGTACTTAGAAAACAACATACCACAGTACTACAGCATTCACGACCACGATATTTCATTATTTCGCGATATCTTGGAGAAGAATTTATGATGTCAGAAATATATGCATCTGTTAGGTAATCTATAGGGAGTTTTTGTTCACGCTGAGAGCCTAAAGTAAAGAACAACAATTGACGAAAATGAATATGGACATAACATAAAAAGTAATAACCTACTGTAACAACACAAATGCCAATAATCTATTTTACAACTCAAATTTAAAATGCAAAAAGGCCAGTGAAGACATAACAACATGATAAAAGTACCTACGCAATCACACCACTCACAAATTGTTGGTATTTAAATACACTAATTCCAAAAATAGTGAGGAACATATTTGTCATTTCGAACCCTAATAAAAAACATCTGAAACAAAAATAAATAATAAATGTATGTATTATACCTGTGTAAGACGTTTGACCAGACGTTGATTCGGCAGGACTTGAAGACACTGTTTGAGGTTCAGTCGATGCTTCATCCACAGCGCTTTCATCTGTTCTGGATCGATGTTGGGTGAGCCATCTGTAAGATATAACATCATATTAACTATCTATCGCAAAGCAGAGAGATCTGTGTGGTAACTTTAAGCATCCATAATACTTTTTTTCGTAATAAAATTAACCTTTTGTGCAGTTTACCCGTCATAACTTTACTACTTGACTTCTGTGTTACTGACGCATGTTAAGTTTGCTTTACATTGTTCCATCTCATTCCCTTTCTACTCTTCTGTATATTGTTTTATACTACTCATTTACATTCAGTAAGCAGTCGTATTCCTAATAATTTTCAAACTTATATTGTAACGCGAGTTGTTCTGTAATATTCTGAATTGTTCACATATACTCCGCCTGCAGTCCCTCCGGGGGATACTGCCGGTCCCAAACACGGATAAAGGAGGAGGATTGGGCATGGGGTTACCGTCCCCATCCCGTAGAAAACTAACTCGCTAAAAAACGCTAACCAGAAAGAATTATTCAAACCTTTTAACCTCTGCCCTGGGAGTTAGAAGGTCTTCATTTAGAAGAACTATGACGCCTCATGATGAAAGCCGAATTCCTTAGGACGTTACGAGGCTGACGATCCTTCTGACAACCAGAGCGACCATTTATTTAGGTACATGGAATGTTCGTACAATGTGGGACACAGGCAGAGCCCTCCAAATCGCTGCAGAAATGAGGAGATACAACCTAGAGGTTCTTGGGATCAGTGAAACACATTGGACGCAAGTTGGACAACAACGACTAACTTCAGGAGAGCTTCTGTTATACTCCGGCCATGAAGAAGAAAATGCCCCACATACACAAGGAGTTGTACTGATGCTGTCCAAACAAGCATAAAAGGCACTTACAGGATGGAAATCACATGGACCAAGGATCATCAAAGCCTCCTTCAAAACAAAGAAAGAGGGCATTTCAATGAACATCATCCAATGCTATGCGCCTACCAACGACTACAATGAAGTCGCTAAAGATCAATTCTACAATAGGCTGCAGTCAATCGTCGAGAAGTGCCAAACAAAGGACCTGACCATTCTGATGGGAGATTTCAATGCCAAGGTTGGAACGGACAACACTGGATATGAAGACATCATGGGACGACACGGACTGGGAGGAATGGTGAGAGATTTGCAAACCTATGTGCCTTCAATAAACTGGTCATAGGTGGCACCATATTCCCACACAAACGCATTCACAAAACCACATGAACTTCACCGGATCACACCACGCAAAACCAAATCGACCATATTTGCATCAACAAAACGTTCAGGAGGACTATAGAGGACGTGAGAACCAAGAGAGGAGCTGATATAGCCTCAGATCATCACTTGCTGGTCGCCAAGATGAAATTGAAACTCAAGAAGCACTGGACAACGGGGCGGACAATATCACAAAAGTTCAATACGGCCTTTCTTCAGGATACTAACAAACTCAACAAATTCAAGATAGTCCTCAGCAATAAGTTCCAGGCCTTTCATGATCTACTCAATGGAGAAGGAACTACTATGGAGAGCAACTGGAAAGGGATCAAAGAGGCAATCACTTCAACATGTCATGAGGTCCTGGGTCACAAGAAGCACCATCACAAGGAATGGATCACTGTTGATACACTGGATAAGATTCAAGAAAGCAGCAATCAATACCAGTCGAGCAAGAGCAGAAAAAGCCTAGGCACAAGCTGAATACACAGTAGTAAACAAACAAGTGAAGAAGAGCATCAGAACTGACAAACGTAAATATGTGGAAGATTTAGCAACAACAGCGGAAAAGGCTGCAACAGAAGGGAACATGAGACAACTGTATGACACAACAAAGAAACTCTCTGAAAATCGCCGCAAACCAGAACGACCAGTGAAAAGTAAGGAAGGCGAGGTAATCACCAACATTGAAGAGCAACAAAACAGGTGGGTAGAACACTTCAAAGAACTCTTGAATCGACCAGCCCCACTGAACCCACCCAACATCGAAGCAACACCCACGGACCTCCCAACAAATGTTAGCCCACCAACAATTGAAAAAATCAGCATGGCCATCAGACAAATCAAGAGTGGCAAACCAGCAGGACCGGACAACATTCCAGCAGAGGCACTAAAAGCAAACGTAGCGGCAACTGCAAGGATACTCCACATTGTCTTCAATAAAATTTGGGATGAGGAACAAGTACCAACAGACTGGAAAGAAAGATTCCTGATCAAAATACCGAAGAAAGGCGATTTCAGCAAGTGTGATAACTACAGGGGCATCACTCTTCTCTCAATACCGGGAAAAGTCTTCAACAGTGTATTGTTAAACAGAATGAAGGACTGCGTAGACACCCAACTTCGTGACCAACAGGCAGGATTCCGTAAGGATAGATCGTGTACAGACCAAATCGCAACTATACGGATCATTGTGGAACAATCAATTGAATGGAATTCAGCACTCTACATTAACTTCATTGACTACGAAAAAGCATTTGACAGCGTGGACAGGATAACACTATGGAAGCTTCTTCGACACTACGGCGTGCCTCTGAAGATAGTCAATATTATACAAAATTCATATGATGGATTGCACTGCAAAATCGTGCATAGAGGACAGTTGACAAAGTCGTTCGAAGTGAAGAACGGTGTCAGGCAAGGTTGCTTACTCTCACCCTTTCTCTTTCTCCTGGTGATCGACTGGATCATGAAGACGTCAACATCTGAAGGGAAACACGGAATACAATGGACATCTAGGATGCAATTGGACGATCTAGACTTCACAGATGATCTGGCCCTTCTATCCCAAACGCAACAACAAATGCAGGAGAAGACGACCAGTGTAGCAGCAGCCTCAGCAGCAATAGGTCTCAATATACACAAAGGGAAGAGCAAGATTCTCCGATACAACACAGCATGCACCAATCCAATCACGATTGACGGAGAAGATTTGAAAGATGTAAAAACCTTTACATATCTGGGCAGCATCATTGATGAACATGGTGGAAAAGAGGAAGACCAAAGAACACATTACCCCGGGAAATGGAAATAGACATGGGAAAAATGAACAAGAATTGGATGGAACTAGAAAAGAAGGCCCAGGACAGAGTGGGTTGGAGAATGCTGGTCGGCGGCCTATGCTCCATTAGGAGTAACAGGCGTAAGGTCACATATACTTATAACGTTTTTGTACTTATCATTGTATTTATCATTATAATTACTGTATCTTAATTACTGTAACCGTTATCCACAGTTTTGTGCATTTGTTTAAACACAGCAGTTTCCATATTGCTTTGCCCTCGGTTCGAGTCCGTTTGCTCATAAACTGTTATCCAATTCAGACACAGCTATCGGCTGTCTTTTTACTTTCGTATGTTATGATTATTCTTTATGTTACTCTTACAGGAAGCCTTTGTTATTTTCATTCTTGAAGGACGCATTTAAACGCCTAAACACCTCACAAGTTGAGGTTTGTAACTAAATTTTGTGTATTATTTAATAAAGAACCGCTTTTGTAGACAAATCGTTGTTTTGAAACTTCGATTTTGTGCGTATCTCAATCGGGGTTACTTGGACGCTTCGATAGAATTAACAACGCACTACTTAACTGTGGTGGATTTTTATAAGGGTTATGGAAGAAAAAGCAGTTGATTCAATCACGGATGTGTTACTGGATAGTGATGAGCAATGACACGTCAGCATTATACTAGACTTTATAGTTCATCTTCAACACATAAATACTAATCGATCTTACGTATTACGTTCAATATGTATCCTCTTGTTTCTTATAACGTTTCGAATCCAGCTTCAATGATTATGGTATGTATCAAAAACGTTTAATAATAATATTACAAATGTAAGTTTGAGCCGTTAGCAGCTGATGAAAAGCCTTGGAATATGATGAATTCATATCATTTCGAGAACCTTATCCTTCGCACTTTATATAAATTTGTCAATGGATCAGATTATATAAAATTTAAAGTCAGTGTTTGTTATTTTCGGTCCTACTGTAGACTACTTGCTTACTAACCTGGGTTCGCGGTAATGAGTTTCTTAGAACCACGTATTCTACTCACTGCACACACAAGGAGTCGAGAGTGTGAGAGTAATTGATTGATCTGAACATAGAGGGTTTATTACAGAAATCACACACATATTTATATTGGAATTTTTGAGGACAAGTGTTGAGGTACACATAATAATTTCTCCTCAAGGTAATCTGAAATATCCTACGTTACATACGAAAACGTCCCTAACACACTTTTGTACGTTGTAAGCAATGATAGTGTTCATAAAAGAAAAAAACAATACATTAAATAGTATAATGGTTTCGTCATAATTCATAGAAGTAGTAGGAAATTAAACTTGTATTTCATCTAACAACGTAACAAGAAACTTACCGATAGAGAGCAACAGTTAAACGTATATTCGGATCTGAAATAAGGCTATCTGAAACAAAAATAAAAACAAAATTTCATCGACGATTAGTGGGCTTTCAGATCAAAAGTTATGTGAAAATTCATATTTTATGAAGACTAATATAAAGATGAATAAAATACAGACAGGTATAAAATGAATATACTTATTGAATAACCACGACCAAAAATAAGTTTTAGAATAAAATCTTAATGTCTCCATATATAGAACATAGATAAGTAGGGACACTTGGAGATTTAAAACGCTAATAATTTGTTCCTGTCTATGTAAACAGTAGGGTAATTTTAATTGCTTTCAATATCCTATCTTTGGTAAGTGAGCTTGTAAAGGCTAATTTCCCCTACATCTGACTCCAATGAATAATATCCCGTTAACTGAGTATTTAACGCATGCTAAATCTCCTAGTAGGATTATGGATTTACTCGATTATTCAATGCCTGAATACGAGTTATAGGGACAGTTTATTGTTAAAGACTGGTAAAATCCGCAAGCGTGCAGGAAGCAAGCACATAGGGAAACCAATAGAGTATGTGTTAAAAATCCATATATATTTATGTATTAATTGGTTTTGGATAAATTATTGATTGTCTGTGTGTTACAACCGTTGGGAGAATAGATTAAAGAATGATGTGCAGACACGCGCTCAATCAGATTCACACAGCAATTTACATAATGTATTAAGTATTTAAATTACAGTGGGCAGACAAATAATACAGTAGTTGAATGGGTTTAATACAAGCTAACCTACATGACCTTTCCATTGTATAACCGTGAGTTCAAATTGATTATACACAAGGAATATGTAACTGCTATTACTATCAGGATGCAAATCTGAAACCTTAGATATAAAAGTATAATGAAGCTTGTATACTTCCTATCAGCACAAATGGCCTTTACTCCCAACTTGATCAGACAAGAACAGTCACATACCAGTCGGTAATAGAGGGTTATTTACCGGAGTGTCATATTGAGAAATCCACTTTGAACTGGAATACATGAACAACAATATGGTGTAGGAAAACGATTGAAGTGGCTTGCAATATTCAAATAGTGAGTACTGAATTCCTCATTAATTATCAAACTTATTGATCCTCACTACCAAACATTTGCATTATAACTATTATAGTTATGTGACAAATTAAGTAAATGCATACAAAAAGAATCGTAACAGTGACAGGATAACACGAAACTGTACCAAATATTTTTGTGATAAATGCTAGTAATACGAGAGTTGATATATAAGATTAACGGCTTCTTTACCACTATTGAAACCAAATCTATAAATCTCGTGTAAAATCTTACCTTCCGATGAGCGAGGAGATTCTGTTTCCGATGATGGACTGCATGTATCCGTATTCGGTAGCCAATCAGGTCGCTTTAATAAATAACAGCCCAAAAAATTATTGGTCATTTAGTTGGATGAAAATAAAGAGAATTCAACAAAGAAAATTTTATTTTCAACGAAGTCACTTACTTAAGCTGGACATTCGTATTTAAAGTTGCTTGGTAAATACACATGTTTCCAAAAGGATAGAAGAGATCGCACCGTAAAGTAATCCGAGATTTTAAATATGATCAAATCACTTAGTTACCAGGTAAAAATAATTACTACGATGATATCTTAGACGCTAGCAAAATAAATAGTTAAAAGATTGGTGTATAAATGCCAGCTAATAGTTCATGACAGGTTTATTACTATAAAGGGAGATATCAATGTAGCATTAACGCATCTACTAACGCTCTTGAATTCAAGTTGTGCCTTGGAAGAGCATGACTACAGTACCGAACAACTACAGTAACAGACTATTTGAAAACGCGCAAAGCTACAAAACAAAGAGCTTTACAGTAGAAAAGGTTACTGAATAAATAAAAACCAAATGCGACAGGAAGTAGATCGTCTGTAAGCTTAATTAAGAAACCACTTCCATGATACATCCAGGAAATCTATCATTTTATTACTTACAACGATGTGAGATAATTATACAGTTGGAGGGAAACCCAATAAATCCAGTTGTAAAGAGTATTTTTACAGAGTGAGGGAAAGTAAATCAAGTAAAAGTATGTTAATTCACATTGATTTTGAAAGACTGTTGTCTAAAAACATACCTGTACTTCAGAGTCGCCAAGCGTTTCTTCTGAACAAAGATCATACAAGAAGATAGGGGCATACATATGACTGACAAGTAAATGTTTTCCACCAAGATTCGACGAAAGTGACTGTTTACGGCCAGTAGGTAACAAAAACTGAGTATGATCTTTGTCATAGATAGGTTCAAACTTGACTGACGTTATATGACCTGGTCCATAATCTAATCTGAACGTTTTGGTCGAATTTATCTTCGCAGGTAAACCAAGAGGTCTGGCTACACGAAATGGCATAGGTTGGGGTGGGTCGCCCACAGCTGCGGAGGACACTATAAAATCAGACGTTAGTTACTAAAACAATATGGATCCGTACTTAAACGAATGTTAAGTAGAAAGTTATGTGAACAAGCTTTGATAATCGCAACTACTATCAAAAAATAACGTTCTCTAATAATATCGAATGTCTGCAAGGTTATTACTAGCAAGAAAGCTGGTCAGTATATTGCCTTTTGATTTGCTATAAACGTTTATTACCACAACCCAAACGTTAAAAAAGCAATTAAATTGACTGGTTTACCAGGTACATAGGTGTGAACCACACTCCAAGTGTGAGGGGAAATGATACTACTCGGTCGCACAAACGGAAGTAAGGTGGAGAGAGGTTCAAACTTGGGACGTAGTGACCGAAAGTTGAACCCGTTGACTAATAAATCAACGCTCCGCTGAATTTAAACGCTATATAGTAAGTAACTGAGCATGTATATGAGGACTGAAGATGAAGGAACACGGTAATGACTGTGGATTTATTAGTGGGTACTAAATGAATAGTGGACTCACAAGTGGAAACGAGCTTCCGAATATCGAAAAGACGTACAAAACCGTCGGCAGTTGCCAGCGCAATTGAACGACATCCATTCAAAGGATGGATATCACCAGCAGTTACTGGAAAATGAAACTTTAATTGATTGACAACAGAAAAATTTGAAACCCATGGTGAGTTTGTGTTGTTGAAGCATCCCCGACTACAACTCGGACTCTTGCGCACGGACGTGATTCTGGTATCCAGAAGAGTGGCTGAATGGTCATGAGATAGTGTTATAAAGCAAGTAGGCATTTCTTGCAAAGTAAGAATCTGAAAACAACACCAAAACGTTTACTAAACAACCATGATATAGTGTAAGTAAAAAGGTATAAAATCAAACAAAAGTATGGAACATCTGTAAAGCAAATAGATATTGTTTTAGTCAACTAAACAACAAGGCAATTTATGGTATGTTTAAAATCCAACTACCTAATCTTGTTTTAAGTTTTGTTGGTGATAACTGATTTTTCATTCACGTTGATAATCTAATTGGCTTTATTGGTACTCTTAATAGAGGTAGTTGATCCATTTTTTGAGTGAACACTTTAGCAATGTGAGCTAATCGCAATCATAGGTACACAGGACAGAAAGTATTTTCAGGAACATATAAACTACTGAAACTGGACACTAATGAAGATAAAACAATTACGACAATGACTATAAAATTCTCTTATACAGACGCTTAAAAGATCTATTTGACTAGACATCTTATCAAAATAACATGCCCTTTATCTACCACTTGATAGATTTCCTTGCCCATATTTTATGATTAAGGTCTAGCAACAACACTAACAAGTACCACCTGAGTTGGTGTTCAATAACAAAAGCACTCAGTAGTGAGAAATACACATATCGACAGAAATCGAGTTATCTGATTATTAAACGGACTTCTCGTTTCCACCTAGACAGAACCTACTATGCTCTTTTACCATTCGAGACAGTAGGTAGTTTTCGGAAAGGAATAATAGTTTCTTCATGCGTTCCATTTCCGGTAGTGCTTGGAACAGTTGTCACTCCTACTACTCGGCGTGGAACAGCTTGTTTCGAAAACGAGGTTTTCATAGGAGCACTGACTAACGAATAGGGATATAAGAATACATAAGCATAAAGGCACTTATCGGGATTAATAACAAATGGAAGCAGAAACCAAAAGTAGAGTGCAGTGAACACTCATAGACTTAAACTCACGTCATACACGGCAAACGTGTGACAGAAAATGTTCTTGAGACTATCCTTTATACTAGAATTAGGATTAACATGGGTGACACAACCGCATTTAAAGCCAACAACTATCTACGGTAATTAAAAATTTCACTTGAACTTTACTTCGCTTCCGCAAGAAAAAGGGAGAAACTTCGCTGTAAAAATGTTACTGTACGCGGGCAACTTTAAATTATAGGCGTTCGGACCTTCAGAATCCTGAATGAAAGAAGAAACCGTTATTTTTAAACTAATAAAGCTAACAGAATAAACCTGTGAAAAAGCGTTAGCAATAGCGATGCATCTGTCATCTGAACCCGACAAAATATACTCCCCACGATCATCCCAGCAGATGGTATTAACCTGAAATAGGAGGTTGGTGAAGACAGTAAACTTACACAACCACTGTGATAGCACAACTCTTTCTTGACTTTCAGCGAATGAAAGTAATACAAGTTATCTATTCCTTCATTAGAGATCAAAAGGTACATACCTTTCCATACCCATTCTTTGTTCACTGAACCTGCAAACTCATAGTTTATTCGGCCCGAGTACATCAACGTAACGCCCCATCTAAACACCCCTCCAGCTAATGACCTATAGTGACCTTTTATGAAGACCAAATGGCGATGTGCATTTCAATGAATGCTGCTAAAATTCCTTGTCATGTTTGGCAGTACCACAGTTTCCAAAGACTCTCCATATTTTGCTTGGTAAGTTTTATCCAAGACTCATGCAAATATATTTTATGTATCATTGTCTTCTTTGACAAAGTTTTTATGATGTGATTATGCTCAATATTCGCCTTTATCATTTGATTTTGTTATTGCATGATATTGAACTGTTGGGTAAATGAGTCCACGTGATTAACAGTTTTGTAAATCCTCGACATCGATACCTACTTCATTAATTTATCTAGACAAACCCCTAACCGATAGCAGCCGGTCATTCACCCTCATCAGCTCATGATTCGGTTAGCCGTTCTATAGTTGATTTCCTGTGGGATTCTCGATCATAGATGTTTTGCACACATTAGGGCTGCCGGGCAACGAAATTCGGTGAAATCATTGAGAGCACTGACAATTAGGTTTTTGACCAAAATCAAGGTTAAATGATGAGAAAGCTCATTTTTTGTAGCATATAACAATCTCCTGGAAATGTTCGTTGTTTGATTTAACTCTTCGTAATCTCAACCTTGATCCCATTTCTCTGAAAATATTCTTGTTGAAAGTCAGGTGTAGAACTGCTTTATTTGTCAATCATTTTTGGCTGAATATTAAAACAAAGGTGCTTGATGGCAGTGAACAGATGTTTGCACCCTATACCACTCAATCAGGTAGTGACTGCGTCCGCAGCAAAATGAGAGCCGTTACCAGTCGCTAATGCCTCGGGAAACTCTTCTCGACTAAACACTTTTCTTAATGCTTGTGAAGTCAGAATTTGATGAAGTTGTTAAAAAACTCCAGACCACTTCGAAAAATAATCAATGACTACAAGTGCACAGTATTTACCGAGAAATGGATCACACGATTATTCAAACAGAAAATACCATCAAGAGTAGTGGATAACACATCTCAATCTGAAGAATAGACAGAAAATTTCCGTTTCAGATTAGCATTCGTACACCACTAAATACACGAAAAGCGAATGTCCTGCGCTTCAATCGGATCTCAAACCAATGGTGCACATGGGCTCCAGTATCCTGCGGGAACAAATGGTGTATGAACCAATTTTCGGTCACCGGCTACCATAGGACTGCATCTCCTTACGATGCTCCACTGCTTTGTGGGTTAGACCACTAGGTCAAAGGCTTGGTGTGTGACCCCTAAGATAACCACCTGCTTTGGTCTGGGCACCCGGGAAGTATCATAGCCCACACGTAAATGATGAACTCTATATCTATGTAAACTACTTTTCTCGCTTCGAATAACAATCAAATGATTCAAATGATTATCATTACTACCATTGTTATTGTTATTATTATTATTTACTACGACATTATTCACCCTCTTTTATTCCTACTCTGTCTATACTAATTTTTTCGACTTATACAGCAGCTCGTCTCTGGTGGAAATTCGACTCTATCTAAACGTTTTCGAGTCACTGTTCGTTTGAAAATTGTATGTCACCACCGAATATGAGTACTGATGTAGTGTCAGTTATTATGGCAAGCCCATCTACCTTATTCTAACTTGTGGACATCCTATTTAATTCATTTTACTTGAGTCATATTTTGGCCTTGTTAATTATTCGCTTATCAGTCCTGACTGTTTTTATATGAGCGTATATGTGCGTGCCCTTCTTATCGCATTAATCACATGTCTGTAGCTTTATTTTGTCAACCTATAAATATGGAGTAACTCTTGACTAAAATGGAGTTGGCTTCCCAGCCATCCTCCCTGTGCGTCATTTTGCTCTGTTCTATTACATTCACTTTACATACGAAATATATGTATTCAACATCCCATTCTCGTTATTTGACTTATTTAATTCCGTTATTGGATAACGTGATTTAAGTCGGCGATTATATACGAGAATAGGCGATAGCAAACATTCATATACTCTGAATTGGAGTCAGATCACGGGCCGCCCCATTAGTAAGCCCGCCGACGACGAACGCAACGCAGCAAGCTACGTCGATGAAGGAACTTCTGCACTCTATACGTTCGGCGAACAAATTCAGCGAAGCCAGCGCAATCTCCAATCCCACGCAACCAGCACAGCCTGTGCAACATGACATGGACATGCTCAAGTCGTATTATCTTATCGATACTTTGTCCTCATGTCAACTATTCTCATTGATCCATTCGTCGGTTTGCCCCATTACTATTCGAATTATCATTATATGCTTATTATTACATTATTCTCAATATCATGACCGAATGTGGAATTAATAATCATGTTCATGCTGTCATTAAATTATGACATTTTCGCAATCATATTGCTCACCGAATAGATTATCATTTTATGAACACTCCACTTTATGACATTCAAAATTCACTGGAATATTTTTACTATTCAAAACATGAAATTTTCCTGCTTTAAGTGAGTTCGTTTCAATTTTTTCATGTCATTTGATCTAATATTGCATTCATTCACTTAGTCGAGGTCATTATGTTATGTTATCACAACATTTCTCATTTCGAAATCGCCTCCTATTATGTCTGTGGATGCATCTAACTAGCTGATTAGTAACCATTATGTTCACCTTATCTATTCTTCCACATGTATAACCACATGCCGCATCATTAATTACCCAAAAACATTATTCGAGTACTGCAACTACTATTCTATACCCATCGCACTGTATATCAGAACATAGAGTTTAGAGCTAGTCTCTCAAAGATACACTCTTGTTCCTTACATCCAAGTCAGTCTCATACGTCGCCATCGCTAATCATATGTATTGGTATTCTTGTCATGCCTTGGTACGGTTTTGTAACAAACGAGGTCGAGCGCATCTCCCTCAAACCACACAAACCACTCTAGGCTTCATGACCAAAAAGGAATAAGACTCTACGTACTTCGTCTACTCAGTCACTATTCTGTTCCTCTGGTCATTCTACTAATACATATTTAACGATAACTCAATGCATCTGTCATAACGCAGACGACAACATTCACTGACTTCACATTTTATGATTATTATCAATTGCAGTACAGCAACGAATATCACCCGTCAATGCAGTTATCATTTCACGACTTGCCTATTGTCATTCTACGAATGGGGAACTACTCATTTAAATTCAATATTTTACTTATTTTTACAATTTATTTCGCTGTCATACTCACAAACAATTTATTACTATTTTCACGATATTTTGAATCGCTCATATGAACGTGTTATTTTATTGTTCAGACAGTCATAGCATTGGTACATGTTAATTTTTTGTACGCTCATTAATTTGCTCAGATTCGCATGCTAACGTTTCCATTTTTGTCCGCGCCTTTTCTATATTCATGTATTCTTTTACATAAATATGACATTTTCATATAATACACTCACCGCTCATGTAACACTACTGTACTTTATCGAGTGTTGTACAATTTTTTTTGGTTACTTATTGTTAACGTTAACTTCATATCACTTCAGTGTTATTTTCGAAAACAGACATTTTTTAAATGTGCTATTTTCTACGAGGGGGCTATGTAGTGTCAGTTATTATGGCAAGCCCATCTACCTTATTCTAACTTGTGGACATCCTATTTAATTCATTTTACTTGAGTCATATTTTGGCCTTGTTAATTATTCGCTTATCAGTCCTGACTGTTTTTATATGAGCGTATATGTGCGTGCCCTTCTTATCGCATTAATCATATGTCTGTAGCTTTATTTTGTCAACCTATAAATATGGAGTAACTCTTGACTAAAATGGAGTTGGCTTCCCAGCCATCCTCCCTGTGCGTCATTTTGCTCTGTTCTATTACATTCACTTTACATACGAAATATATGTATTCAACATCCCATTCTCGTTATTTGACTTATTTAATTCCGTTATTGGATAACGTGATTTAAGTCGGCGATTATATACGAGAATAGGCGATAGCAAACATTCATATACTCTGAATTGGAGTCAGATCACGGGCCGCCTCACTGAAGCAGTGTTTCTGAAACCACATGCACCATTCTAACTGACTGCCTTCAACGTTCGCACACTTATTCAGGTTGGACAACAGATAGAGCTGGTTATGTCCTTAGAAAGTCTTAATGAATTCTATCACCAGTTAACTGTTCTTCTCCAGAAAGTGCGTTCGACATATATATATATATATATATATATATATATATATATATATATATATATATATATATATATATATATATAAGCACAGAAGAAAGTCGTTTAGGTGGCCGATGAGGACTCGTTGGTCGCAGGACAGATAACGGGGACCGTCTACTGCAACTGTGCACAGAACACAACCTGTTTCTGGCTAGCACTAACTTTCGGCACAGTCATCGCCGATGTGTAACCTGGCGTCCTCCCTCTGCATCTCAAGCCTGGACTCAGATTGATCATATCGTGATCAGCTACCGCTGGCGTGGTTGTGTAAAAGACTGCCGCTCCTTTTGGAGTACCTATCTGGACTCTGACCATGACTTGGTCTGCGCCAATCTTGCCTTACTTTTCAGTGGACAACGAAGTGACCACCAGCAAAGGATTGATATTAGCAAGCTGGTTGCAACTTCTGTTGCAAATAAGTATCGAACCGAGCTTGCCTCTAGGCTAGCTACCACTCCATCGAAAAGTATAGATGAGCATTGGTTGCAATTGCATGACGCCATGAAAATGGCGGGAACAGTCAGTTGTGGGTTTGCGAAACGTCCCGCTTATAAGCACTGGGTTTCTTCTGGTTCCTTACAACTTATTGAAGCCCGTCGGTCTACTCCAGGTGACCGTGAGTTTGACCATAAACGAAGGATGTTACGTAAGGAAATTGGGCAAAGCTTGCGTAAGGACCGAGAAGCCTGGTGGTCGGAGCGTGCTAATGAGCTGGAAGCAGCAGCTGCATCTGGTAACTACCGGAAGCTCGTCCAGCTCATCCGAGCCACTGGCAG